TTAGTGTTTTGTTTTCGTGTTTCTATGACTATTCTTGCTACAAAATCTCTCAAAATATTAAATATATAAATGTAACTACTTGTTTCAGAATACTTAGAGAACAAAATGTTCTTTCAAAAAATTAAATCACCAGATAAAGTAACATTTTCTCATTTTATTGGGAATGTTTGCTCTTCGATGTTTGTATATAAATATGTAATATCAGCACCCGTACAGCCTCTTTACCCTTTGTGTATTAATCCGCCCACATACAGCCAGCAAAAAGCAGACACTACAGATCTAAAGTTTAAAAGATGCTTGCTGAAATGTTTAACTGTCAGCTTATGATTTGAATCCGGAAGAAAGTAGTTCCTCATACAAAAGGGTTTTTGAGACTCTCCCGTTGCGTTCGAAACTGCATACTTCCATACTATATAGTACGCTAAAATCAGTATGCGAGCCGAGTAGTATGTCCGAATTCATAGAATTCGAAAATCAGTAGACGAGAAGTACCCGGATGACTTACTACTTCCAGCGAGATTCTGAAGTGCGCATCCAATGCACGCTGCGCTATCCCATAATGCCCCGTGAAAGAATTCATGAATGGAAGTGAGGCGACGCAACTGACGCAGGTAGGTCACGTGACCATGACAAAATGGCAGATGTAGTACGTCCGAATTCCATTCATACTTTTCACATTCATACTGTATAGAACGTACTTTTTTAACGGCCGAGTAGTATGTTTAAATTCAAATGCAGTACCTACTGAGTAGTAGGTGGTTTCGGACGCAGCCTCCATGTTTGATTTTGTTTTTATATACAAAATTATGCGGTCAAACTGTTGTATAAATGCAATATCAAACTCGTAGCAGTGCGATATGGCTGTATACACTGCTTCTTGTGTGATATTGCTCATATATTAAGAAATATATTAATATATTAAAAATTAAGACCGGTTTGAATGTACTTAAGACATACAACACCACCATTACAAGAGTTCACACTTAGCTGATGATTTATCATAAGCTTGTTTGGCATGCTGTCCCAGGAGAGAGCCCTGAGCTCAAGGGATCCTTGAGCCAAGGGGTCCTTCCTGTTTGCAGAGCGAGAGGGGAGATTGAGCTCACGTAGATCTCAAAAAATCCCGACTTAAGTGGTTAAAGTAAACTACTTTGAAAAAGAAGGGAGCTAGACAGAGTGCCCGTTTTCCTACGCTCTGTGTTTGCAACAGACAGGCTGACAGACAGAGAGTGAGCTAAGCCAAGCTAGGATGAGCATTCAGCCGTACATGTACGAGTTGGACACAGACCAGGCAGAGAGTACAAAATCATTTGTGTCTTTGTATAGTCTCGGTGTACAAGTGCCGAGCTTGTACACCGAGACTAATAACCACACATACTGAATGAACTTTGACTGAGGCACCGAATGCGCCGAAACACGGCACACCAGACACTCAGTGACGCGGCAGAAACATGAAGTGCCCCGAATCGTCGCGCCACGCATTCCAGAACACCAAACACAGTCCTCCACCAGGGCAAACACAACAGTGCCGCGCCGAGCCGCTGACCCCGACAGAAACCCACGCCGCATATAGGGAGGCTCGACTCTTTAATGTTTATTTGCCACCCTTCAGAGAAAGACTAAAAATACGGGAGAAATATGGGAAAATGCCTTTACGGGATGATAATGGGATAGAACTGTAAAATACGGGACAATCTCGGGATAAACGGGATGGTTGACAGGTATGTGCTAACTACTGGGCTGCCGTGCCACCCAATCTATGAGGAGAAGGGTAGGATGAGAAGGTTTCCTCTAGACAAAGATAAAATGTGGAATAAAGACTGTGGAACTTAGGAATCATATGATTGAAGGATCATAATTAGTTTATGCGGGACCGGCTGTAGTAAATCGTAAGCACGATATCCTCTCGAAATTAGTTTATAAATATACTTCACATCTCAGTAAATTTAAGGCCTCAATTGTTGTTTTAAATTAAAGACATTTTTAAACTTTTTAAGACCCCGTGGACACCCTGAACTAAACAGAAACATAAATCTCAAAAAGATTTATATAAAGAAAATGGAGCTTCGAAACTGCATCTAGCAAATCATAGGCTTCTCAAAGATTACAGAGAGAACTTTTTCAAGAAGCTTGCTTTGGCAAGGTGTTTCCAACTCCCTAAATACACTAACCAGTTCATTTCTTGAAGTATATCAGGCCCTTAATTTATAATATTTATATACTCACATGCAATTGCGTGCTGCCAGATCCCGGTGTACGAACTTCTTTTGTGCCAGATACTCCATTCCTTTAGCAACTTGAAGCCCGAAGCCTATTAAATCCTTAACTGTGGGATTCTAGGATAAAACAACAAGACTATCACTTCCTGAAACTTGTTTATGAGCAGTGCAGGAGGTCATGTTGGGAAATAACTTTGTGTTAGACAATGGTGAAGGCAAAATACATGACATTTGTGATGAGTTACATTTTAGCAACTGACCCTATTCTCACAGCGAATGAAGTGACGCAAGTCTCCGTGTTTCATATAAGGTAAGACCACCAAAGGAAGTCCCTCTTCTGGGAGCAGAATGCCCAGCAAAGAGAGAACATTACTGTGATGAAAGCCCTTCATCAGGATGCCCTCTTTTAGAAACTGCTCCACCTCTTCCACATCTGTTATTCCTATTAGAAAGACAAAACATGATGCCAATGCCAATGGTGCACCTGATATTAATGCAAATATCTGATCAGCCAATCACATAATAGCTACTCGTTTAGGCATGTAGACGTGGTCAAAAATATAATCTGATGTACAATCTGAGCATTTCTTCTTTCTAAAATAAATGCGAAATATATGGCAAGTATATTTTGCATATGTGAGGCTCAATCACTGCATTCATTTATTCATTTATTTTATTTGTTCCACAGTCTAAAGACATGCTCCTTATGTGAATTTGGTAAGCTAAATTGGCCGTAGTGTATGTGTGTGAATGAGAGTGCATGGTGTTTCCCAATGATAAGGTGCAACTGGAGGGGCATCTGCTGCATAAAACATATGCTGAATAAGTTGGCAGTTCATTCCGCAGTGGCGACCCCTGATAAATGAGGGACTAAGCCAAAGCAAAATGAATGAATGAAATGCTCGTATTGCACTTCAGATGATCTTTCTGAACACGTCTACATGACTAAATGAGTACTGTATCATATGACTGGCTGATTAGATATTTTACAATTCAGTTATTCTGAATATTTGTTAAATAAAAGATGCTTTAGATCCCCTAGATGTAGATTATATTAGTGGAAATGCATTTCAGGGTTAAGAAAATACATTTCCATTACGCTAATCTACATCTAGGGCAGGGGTTCTCAACCTTATTTACTTCTTTCTCTGATCAATTTTTAAAGGCCCACCTGTCTGACATTTTCTCTAAAATGTTTATATAAAATGCTCATTTAAACCTTTATTTGTTAACAAATATTATATTATATTATATTATATTATATTATATTATATTATATTATATTATATTATATTATATTATATAAACAAATACATTTTTTTACATTTGTTGTGCCTTCTATTATTTTCTATTATCAGCATTTTATTTTTAAAATATTAAATTTAATTATATATATATATATATATATATATATATATATATATATATATATATATATATATATATATATATATATATATATATATATATACACTAGGGCTGTAACGATACACGATATAAAATCGAAATCGCGACACTCAGATCTACGATCCTGTGTCGCGGTGTAATAAGGAAGAATCGCGACACACCCACCCCGTCATACCTTTCCAATAACGTCACGCGTGCCTGCAAAAGTTGAGCTAATTAACACTTTTTTTCGTTCGACATTACAAGCACTGCTCCGTTTAAGCCCTCGCAATATTTAGCCGGGAGAGCTAGCACGGAGCTCTTAGTAAGGGACCGTCTGAATGTGTCAAGAATATCAAAAACAAAACCAACTTAACCCCGCTTGACAACCGACAACGCCAGAAACATTGCCAATGCTGTCAAAGCGGCCAGATTTTCAGCGCAATACGATGATTTGCTCACACTGTTAATGTGGCTGCGCAGGATGGGCGTTCACCAGATGTCAGGTAACAGCCAAACTTTTCTGTAACCGTGTAGTGCGCTTTCTGTTCGAACCTTTGGGAGTGCTGAGTAACAGGTGCGTGAGGTCAGAAAACACAACGAAGCTTTCAGTTAAAATAAACACAGTTTCTATAGTTATAGCCTACTTTATTTAGAGATAAAGGTATATGGCTCTGCATATAATCACTCAATCTTGCTGGAGTTTATAGCCGTTTCGCTTTACTTCAGGACGCATTAACACCGCTCTGAAGGTCTAATCGTTGTTTTAAGTTATCCAGAGCTGTATGAATATACAAATCTTGAATATAACAATAGTATTACATATTACAATTGTAACAAGACAGACAGCAACACTTTTGCACAATCGATACCCAGCTGATTCAGTCGTTTATAAGAGGACCGCGCCTCTTCTTTTTTCCTTGTCAACATAAAGGCAGTAAGGTGCGCCTCGTTTTCGGCCACTTGTTTAACTGCAAGGCATACTTAATTTGCGGGATGAGCATCCCTAGTAGCTATTTAATTTACTTTTTCTATGCAAGAGAACTTGATTGAAAAATAATTTTCAACATGCTTGAACCATCTAAACAATGGAGTTTAGTTTGGTTTTTCAACAGTATTTTGTTACAAAGAAAACAGAAGTGATATAGCTTTGCCTATTTATTTATTTTAACATATGGCTATTTATATTGTTAATAATTTGCATAGTTAATATTGTTCTTTGATGTTTAGTTTATAAAGATTTTTCAAATGTTATTTAATTAAAAATAGTTTTAAAAATCTTTTTTTTCCCACCCCACACGAAAAAAATAAAATAAAAAATCGTGATACGAATCGAATCGTGGGTCAAAAATCGTGATACGAACCGAATCGTGGGTTTGGTGTATCGTTACAGCCCTAATATACACACACACACACACAGATTCAAAGAGAACCACAGGTCAACAGGAATATTGCAAAAGACCAGCTTCAGCTTTGAACTAGACTATATACTATTCAAAAACATAAAGGCAAATGTACAACACAGTAAACACCCTAAATCTTATGAAATGTGTCGATCTGTTGGCGGTTAAGTTTGCAGCCGGATATTATTGGGAGATTGCTGATAAACAGTGAAGAGCTCTGCCAGAGTATGTCTGAAGCTTAAATGCAAGCTTCATTTTACATTCTATGGCAGGAACACCATTGAGCCTCGCTAGATTCTTCTGTATGGGTGCGCGTCTGTTATAAAACACTCACAGGACATTAATTTAGAAAATTAATTATTTAAAAAAAATAAACTTATTAAAATTAATTAACAAAAAATAAACAAAGAGATACTATCACTTCATGCATAGTTTGTGAATGAACAGACATTTGTGAACTAGTTGGAGACGTGATCTGTTTTTGTGCCGAGTTTAAAGCAATCAATCAGAAAACAGAAGAAAGCACATTACTTAGATCATTTTAATGTAGGATATTATAAATAAAACCAAAAAAATTATAGCATAATATTGAGAGTTAATTTAAATCTCGTGGCCCACCTCCAGGGTTGCTGTGGCCCACTGGTTGAGAATACCTGATCCAGTGGGTCTAAATACTCTTTTATTTAAACAATATTCAGTAGAACTGCATTGTAAAAAGTATGTTTCTTACTTTAGTCATTTTAGATTTTATTATAAATGTTACCTTAATGTATCTTGTTATAAAATATTTGAGCAAATACATTTTTTTAATTGTTTTAAATATATATTTAATCCTTTGACTTAAAAAAAAATCTATCAGTAGAAAATTGTATTTACCTAAATACATTTAAAAAAGGTATTTTATACATTTTATATATTTTATACATAAGGTATTTTAGATATTATAAATTATATTGTTACCCATTTTGTGTATATTTTGAAATACATTGTTGTTCCCAGCACCTTGTTTAATTAAGGTTAATTAATTAAGGCTACAAAGTGTCCAACCTCGAACTAACAAGATGTACCTAATAAAGTGGCCTTTGATTGTACAGTTGAAGTCAAAGTTATTAGCCCTCCTGAATTATTAGCCTCCCTGTATATTTTTTCCCAATTTCTATTTAAGGGGAAGAAGATTTTTTAACACATTTTGGTCCATATTTAAAATTTCTGTAAACATGTTTTGATCCTCGATTAGTCTCACGCTGTCACGTGATGCTATTTCCCAGGTCTGAGTTCACCAAGCTTGAACTTTGTAATGCGATGAATTACAAAACTTGTTGCACAAGCTTGCGTTTCCATTCTGTCACTGTATGAATGGAAGTCTATGGGGAGAATAGTGCAGTGTGAATGCAGCTTTACAGTGGTTTGTTCTGTAGACAATTGAAAAACACTATTGCTTAAGCGGGCCAATAATATTGACCTTAAAATTTTTTTTAAAAATAATTAAAACTGCTTTTTTTCTAGCCAAAATAAAACATACTGTGAAAAATTCCTTGCTCTGTTAAACATCATTAAAGAAAGTTTTGAAAAATTAAAATCACCTAAGGGTTTATAATTTAATTTATTAACTTTAACTGTATATTGTGTATACCGTTTACATTCAGAGACTCTGTTTTTAAAAAACTGATCTACATCTTAGTATGTTGCTTGAAAATTGATGCTCGCTATTGTTAAATTATTTACACATTTGCCAGGCACTTTATGCAAAGGAACTTATATTGTATTCAGTGCACTGCATATATGTAATCAGATGCATTCCATATGAATCCAACCCTTGACTTTTGTTGGTTCTAGCACCATGATCTTATGTTTAAGTAACAGGAACAGCAACTTTAAAGGCAGCTCATTTTAAGAAATGGATGTTTTTCATCAGGTGGTTCATCCCGAGAGTGCCGTTCAGTTTTTTAGGAGTGTCTTTATGAGCTCTTTTCATTCAGGATTTTCTTACTGTTAAGAGACTTCACAGCACAGTGGATTTCTCGGTTGTTGTGGTCAGTGAGGTAACCGTGGTAAACTGTCCCAAAGTGTCCTATAAAAAGAAAAAAAACATGTTTTAATAGTGACTTTACATTGAAAATATGAGCTTGTTTTTTCCTCCAGTAATTGCTTTTAAAAATTGTAACAGGTTACAGTAGAGTTTGTGGTCCAGAGATGAAGCCATAACTCACTAAAAATTCACTGTTGGTTTTGGAGTAAAGGAAGGTCTGTAATAAAGTGTTGAAAAATGTTGTTCCACAAAAATAAACCGAACACTACTGACACCCCAAATATTATTATCTAGGTCATAACTAGACCAGAGTATAAACAGGAATCAGAGAGTGAAATTCAATACCTTTTAAAACCTTGACACTTTCCATACATTCTAAGACCCTAAAACTACATTAGGTGACAGAGAGGCAACCCGGAAACATTGGCGAGATTTTAACTTACAGTATATTTACTAAATATTAATGTAAGAAACTAATTTTAAACTAAAACCTCATTCATATATTGAATACAAATCTATTAAATCTAGCTACTTCAGCAGGTTGACGCCTATAGAGCTGCTGAAATAATGGTGTTGCCTTGGTTACTGCAGTAAACAAATCAGCATGATGTCAAATCTAGCAAGATTTCATTGATTTCATAAACTACACAGCATCCTGATTGTAGATGAAATTTAATGTGTAGTTGTGTTTACCACAGATGTTATTTAACTTATCAAGTAACAAAAAAAATTGGAAAAAGGAAAATCTAGAGGAAATAAGGGTGAATTATTCTACTGATTAAATCTACTGAAATAACATTTTAATACTGCAAGGACACATTAAACTGAACAATAGTGACATTAAAGACATTTACATTTCTACAAACGTAAAATAAAAATGTGATTTAAAGAAAATATTTATTTTAGCTTTTTTGTATGTTTTAAAATATAGTTAAAAAATTTTTTTTCAACACCTTGTTGAATTAAGGCAATTCTGAAAGCAACAGAAGGTCCAACCTGGTACAAGAAAGGTGTACCTAATAAAGTGGCCAGTGACTGCAAATTAAGTGTACAAGTGTGTACTGTTTACATTAAAGGTGCCATACACTTCATTGGTTCAATAGGTTAAATCGTTCTCTGATATCTATATAGTAGGTATAAGGATTAGGAAAGAAAAAAAAAACTGTTTCATATGCCATTTATTATTATTTTGAAATGCACCTAGAATCAGAAGGTCCATAATTGACCATATTTAGATTGGTTGTGAATATTAATGAGCTTCGCTCTGATGTGCAGCTCTTACAGACACAAACAGCACGATGTACACTGATCACGGCAATATAATAATATTTAATTTGTCAAAAAACTATTTAACGACCAAAGTAAATACTTAAGTAATTCTTTGGTTGAGATTTTTTACATACACAGAGAGAGTGAGATCTTTAATATAAACCCATTAGAGTAAAGTTAACCTATTTTGGTGTTAACTTTGATTTCCCCTTTTCACCTTTCAGAGTTTCCCTGTAAAAAAGGAATCCACATCTTAGGATGTTTTGTACAAACCATAGTTAGATTATTTAGGTATTTGGCAGACACTTTATCCAAGTGAACTTTTAACACTGCAAGCAATTTCATATTAAACTGGTCACATTGGGCAGTAAAGACATTTAGAATAATACATGTGACTTTAATGCCACCACCATATCACCCTGCAGCTCAAAACCCGTTATTCGACAGAAGCTAAGCAGGGCTGAGCCTGGCCAGTACCTGGATGGCAGAACACATGGGAAAACTAGTTTGCTGTTGGAGGTGGTGTTAGAGAGGCCAGCAGGGGGCGCTCAACCTGTGATCTGTGTGAGTCCTAATGCCCCATTAAAAAGTGAAGGGGACACTATACTGTCAGTGGGTGCCGTCTTTCGAATGAGACGTTAAACCGATGTCTTGATTCTCTGTGGTCATTAAAAATCCCATGGCACTTCTCATAAAGAGTAGGGGTGTAACCCCGGTGTCCTGGCCAAAGTCCCTCAATCGTCCCTTTCGATTATAGCCTTCCAATCATCCCCATCCACCAAATTGGCTCTATCACTGTCTCTTCACTCCACCAATATGGTGGTTGCCGTCGCATCATCCAAGTGGATGCTGTACACAGGTAGTGGTGTGGAGAGACACCCCTCATGATTGTGAAGCATTTTGGGTGTATGACCATACACAATAAATGCGCTATACAAATACACACATTACATATAAGTTGAAAAAATGTTTTTAACTTCTATTTATTAATGATGAATCCTGAAATAAGAATCATAAGCCCCTTTCACACAGTGATACCGGTAAATATCCGGAAAATTTACGGAACGACTTTACCGGTATATTCAAAAAAGCGCTGTTCACACAGGCGAGGACGTTACGGAAATTTTCCGGAAAAGAGCATTCACACATCCATTCCAAAATACCGGTAAATTCTGACATCATTCACCACAAATGAGCTTTAAACGGCTGCGCTTGTATTTGTAAACATTTGACTAAATTACAAACTCTTTTGATGATCAATATTGTGAACAACTTTCGCAGGATCACTTTCGCATGTCGAGATCATAATGTGCGTGTGCTGGCGCTCACAGGCTGTTTCATGGGCACACGCAAAGCTTGAAGGTAAACAAACAACGGCTTATCATAAGCATCTAATCGATGATTATTTGCACAGTTGGCATTAAGAAGAACATATAAACGTGATCTGACTAACTTCTAGCAGCTAAATGCGTCTGGAAAAATATTCAAAGGCTTTTATTCTCACAAACCTCGCGGACGTAAATGCGTCTGACTGTTGTGATTGGCTAAAGCAGACGTCTCACGTCAGCACGTTCTAGACGTGCACGCGCTTATTCCGGAAATATTCCTTCTGCGTTCACACAGTGCAGCATTCCGGCAAATTGCCGGTAATGTTACAACTTCTCTTTCCGGAAAATAGCCAGAACGAATTTACCGGTATTTTCAAAAAGGACCTGTTCACACATACAACCTTTCCGGAAAATTGCCGGTAATTTTCCGGAAAGGTCTGTATGTGTGAAAGGGGCTATAGTCTCCAAAAACAAAGCAGCAGAACTCTTCTTAATATTTAGAATAATAATTGTTTCTTGAATATTAAATCAATATCTTAGATGGATATTTTAAAGAAAAATGAGACAAAGAAGACAAAGACATCATTCTGAAAATGTGCTTTGCCATCACAGAAATAAATATATATTTTTAAATACTTTAAAACACTAATACATTTTCCCATTTTTATTGTTTGTTTGTTTTTGACAACCTGGAAAAAAGCAGCCTTGATGACCATAAAAAATAAAAATCATACTGACCACACACTCTCGAGTGCTAGAGTGTTAAACTTCTACTCCCACCTTTTCCGATGATCTGGTGGTGGTGAACTTTGAGTGTGGAGGCTGGAATCAGCACGTCCTTCACCTCCTCCAGCAGCTCAGGGCGGAAGCTGGTGATAGAGATCTTCTCTGGGGGCATGAGAGGAGTCAGGGTGGTGTCTAGGGTGCCTGTGTAGGCCAGGCCCGGGAATGCCACGGCCCCAGTGGGTGCAGTGATGCTGGTGAGAGGCAGATCTACAAGGACACATCACATAACAGAAGCATTTCCGAAAATACATTTTAGGCAACTACATTTTAAGAACAAATCAGGACACAAACAGACAGCAGAACATTTTAAATAGAATCCATAAATGTTTCTTTTAAAAAAATGATAGATTATTAAATGTATAAATTTTGCTCAACGGCTTATAACTTTTTTTTTTATGGTCCAAAAATGAAACCAAAACATTACCCAATTTTACTAGTAACTAATCAATTAAATATCTAAAATATATATTTAAAAATGTCAAAAGGGCTGTAAAATATAACCAAAAAATTACCACAATAGTATTTTTTTAATGATTGATATCCAGACAGTTAATATATTTAAACTAAGTTTTTCCGCTCAAAACATGAAAAAAAATCATCAACCAGTATTTTATATTGATAAATAATTGTAAAACTTTTAATAATAATGGTTTATCTTCCCTGGACATGGTACTGAAGTAAATATATATTCAATAAATCAAACATATTTATAAACATTTTTTTTTAATATTCTGGACACAAACTGAAAGTAGAGCAATTTCAATAGAATCCAAAAACTTCATAAAAAGTATAAATTAATTATTACATAAATTCACATTTCACTCTAAAGTTTGTTCTATATATATATATATTTTTTTTTTGTTTTTTGGAAACAAAAATGTTTCCAAAACTTTACCCATCTCTACTAAAAACTAATCAATTAATTATCTTGAATAATCATTATAAATATGTCAAAAGGGCTGTGCAATATGACCCAAAAAAGTACCACAATAATGTTTTTGTATCATTGATATCCAGACATTTAATTAATTTAAACTACTCTTTAACTCTCAAAACATAAAAAACATCATCAACCAGTAGAACTGGTATTTATGATGATATTTATAATGATAAATATTCTATCATTTATAATATTCTCTTCTATTAATATGGGGTTTTATCCCCTGCCTTTAAGGACATGTTGCAGATGTTACTTTATACTCAATAAATCAACCATTTCTGTTTTAATATTCTGATTTCATTTTTTATTAAAATCAAACCCTATGATTCATGATAGCATACAATTAGACAATCATAGTTTAAACACATTGAATTACCATAATTAAATATAGATGTGTTTTCTATGATGACTGTATGAAAAACCCCAGCCTGAATTCATGAGGTATAAAAAAATACACAAATTCCAGTGATAAACAACAACAATTTCTATAATTCTATTAACACATTTAAACGGATAGTTCACCCAAAAAATTTTATTCTGCCTTTATATACTCTTATTAGCAAATCTGTTTAAGTTTCTTTCTTCTTGAACACAAAGAACTGAAAACACCCATTGACTTTCATAGTATTTTTATTCCTAGTACCAATGTCAATGACAATTGCTTTCCAACAGGACATTTTGGAGTAAACTATCCTTTTTTTTGTCTACATTAGTAATATAATATAATTCATATTTTAAATATATTCAAATTCATATTCAAATCTTCCTATCCTGCCACAAATTGCAGCAGGGCAGTTACTGGTACTACTGTAAATCCATGGTAAATCCTAGGAAGAAGGATTTGTTAAACTAATGATCTCAAACTCAATTTCTGGAGGGCCACAGCTCTGCATAGTTTAGCTTCAACCAGTTCGGTTCCAACTCACACCTGCTTAATTGTTTCTAGTAGTCTTGAACATCTTGATTAGTTGGATCAGCTGCCTTTGATTAGGGTTGCAACAAAACTGAGCAGAGCTGCGGCCCTCCAGGAACCCAGTTCGAGGCCTATGTGTTAAACGAACCATGTAGAATAAATGAACTGCACATAAATGTTCAATCGAGCATTTATTGAACACATACTGAAGTCAGAATTATTAGCCCTCCTGTATTTTCTTTTCTTTTTCAATTAAATTTTTTTTGCACAATATTTCCTATAATATTTTTTCTTCAAGAGAAAGTCTTATTTGTTTTATTTCGGCTAGAATAAAAGCAGCTTTTGATAAAAAAATAAATAAATAAATAAATAAATAAATAAATAAATAAATAAATAAATAAATAAATAAATAAATAAAAAACATTTTAAGGTCAATATTATTAGCCCCTTTAAGTAATATATTTATTAACCATTGTTAAATAATGATTTGCCTTATTACCCTAGTTAAGGCTTTAAAAGTCACTTTAAGCTGAATGCTAGTGTCTTAAAAAATGTCATCATGGCAAAGATAAAAGAAATCAGTTATTAGAAATGAGTTATTAAAACTATTATGTTTAGAAATGTGTTGGGGAAAATGTATTTTCGTTAAGCAGAAATTGGAATATACAGAAGAGCTAATAATTCAGGAGGACTGTATTATAATATTATTGTGATAACTATTATCACCCAGCCATCTCCACTATGGTCAAAAGTTTGGGGTCTGTACAACTTTTAAATGTTTTAAAATAAGCTTCTCCTGCTCACCAGGGCTGCATTTATTTAATCAAAAATACAGTGCAAATTGTACAATTTTGAAATGTTATTGCACTATAAAATAACTGTTCAAAAGTAGTTTATCATTTAATTTAATCATTTATTCCAGAGATTTTAAAGATTAATTTTCAGCTTCATTACTTCAGCCTTCAGAGTCACATGATCCTTTAGAAATCACTATAATATTCATTAATATTAGATATTAATTAACTTATCCAGCATATGTTTTACACAGCTGATGTCCTTCCAGCCAAAACCCATCACTGGGAAACAAATACACACTCATTCACGTACATACACTACGGTCAATTTTAGCCTACCCAATTCACTGTGTAAAGTGACTGTGGGGGAAACCGGAGCACCCGGAGGAAACCCACGCGAATGCAGGGAGAACATGCAAACTCCTCACAGAAATGCCAACTGACCTAGCCGAGGCTCGAACCAGCGATCTTCTTGATGTGAGGCGAACATGCTACCCACTGAGTCACTGCGTTGCCTTCACTCTAATATTATTTACTATTAATATTATTATTATTATTATATGTATTATTAATAATGGTAATAGTAATAAAAGCAATAATGACTGGACTAATCAATTAATTTAAAACTACATACAATAAAAAAGCCGTTAGTTAAAATTTTAATAAATGCCGCCTTGATGAACAGCATCATTTTATATATATTAAAAAAAACATGAAAAAAATAAAAGAAACTGACCCCAAGCTTTTAAACCGGTAGTGTGTATATCAGGAAAAAATGAAACATCTGATAATGTATTTCTCACCCCGTCTGTAGTCTACTAAGGAACTCAAATCCACGCTATTATTTCGTGAGCGACTGTGGGAAAAATAAGAGAGCCGATTTTCTGTCTGCGAAGCTGTGGATTAAAAAAAAACAGATGATTCATAATCAATCATAACATTGGGCTTGTTAAAATGTGTGATTGAGGACTGACTGAAAAAGCATTGCAGCAGTGAGACGAGACATTACTTATTTAAGGAGATTTTTCACATTTACTTGACTTGAATTGTAAAAAGTGCTCACCTTTTTTCTGTTTCCTCAGGTTTTTCAGCACAATGAAGGCCAGAACTGCACCCGTCACTAGAGCTGCCAGTATGCCGAGCACAATGCCCACCATATAGTGGTTACTGACCAAGATAACAGTGCCGACATTATGCGTGTACCCATTCACCGTTACCTGGCATGAGAAAACACTGAGGTTTTATTGTGCCAATAGCTGCTTTGACTTCAAATAATGTAGTACAATTACAGGTCTAAATGTACGTTACAAACTCTCACCTTTACAGGTAAACCCTCACTGGGAATGGTGAGATTATTAGGGATCCTGCATGTGATCTCATTATCCAAAACTTTACCACCACAGTCAACGTCGCCCACCGTCATCGTGATTGACATGCAGGAACTCACAAGGTTCAACTTCTGGTGCTGCATCATAAGGGGAGAATGGATTTGCTATTTTGTTTTAATATTGATAAAATTTTGGATTTAAAGTCATTTTGCTTAATTGTTGAGCATAACAGAACATTCAAGATCAAAAAATTATAATAAAAAATCAGTATTACTCCATAATGTTCCATGGTATAGTGACAATTTGAATGAATTTGATACAGGGAAAAAGTGTTGAACACATTGAAGGTGGAGAAAGGAAGGTGTGGAAAGGCAGTGAAAGCCCAGACAGCAAGTGAAATCTCTCAGTAGTTCTTCAGCAACCCTCTACCCTTCATCAGTGTTAATTAATATTAGCTGCTTCAGTCCAGCATCTACATTATCAGGAAGATGAAGATGAAACCAGAGTGAACATTTCAGCAAGACAAGGATCCAAAACACAGCCGAGGAAACTCTCAAATGCTTTCAGAGAAAGAAAATCAAGCTGTCGAATGGCCCGACCAATTACCAAACTTTTATCCAATATAAAGTATAAATTTAAGATCAGATTTGATAGACGTGACCGACAGAACCATCAAGATTTTTACACTCTGCTGAAGTCTATGAAAAACTGCTGAGCATGTCATGTGACTTCATTCTCCATATGAGAGGCGTCTTTAAGCTGCCATCACCAAAAAAGCTTTTTATTTAAAGCATTAAATATGTTTCAGTAGTTCAGCACTTTCTCCTTGTGCCACTGTTATTACACATAACTGATCTTTCAAATTTTTGTTTTGTTTTATTTTTATGTTTGTAAAAATCAGCTCCTTTGGAAATATATCATTCCCAGGAAAAAAACATGACATGTTCAATACATATTTCCCCCGCTCCTTAATTCTGAATTGCTACATTCTGTTTATTTTGAATCAAAGACTATTTAATATCATCATACATATGATTATATGAGCAGAAAAAATATTAAAGACTTATTTCAAAAACCAAAACTATTTCAAACTTGACTGATTTAGCATATATTTGATTTTTTAATAGATTGTGGTTGATTTTTTATTATAAATCCTTTATTATGAGGTTTAATTCTATTTTAAATTACCTAATTTTCCATTCCACTTGATAATTGAGACATTCAACATAAAATACATACAGTTAAAGTCGAAATTTGCCCTCCTTCACAGTATGTCTGATAATATTTTTTCTTCAGGAGAAAGTCTTATTTGATAACTGGCACACGCAAATACGAGCACATCACCCCGATTTTATCTTCACTTCACTGGCTGCCCCTGCATTTCAGGATCCATTTTAAGGTACTTTTATTTGTTTTTAAGTGTCTAAATGGTGCTGCACCCCTTTACCTCTCTGAGCTTCTCTGTCCCTGCACACCTTATAGTTCGCTCAGGTCAGCCGACCAGCTCCTCCTGGGTGTGCCCAGGACCAGTCGAAAGCTCAGAGGGGATCGGGCTTTTACTGTGGCTGCACCAAAATTATGGAATGAGCTACCGTTGTACATTAGACAAGCCTCTTTCATCACTGTTTTTAAATCCCTTCTTAAAACCCACCTGTTCAATTTGGCTTTTAGCACAGCTTGAGATGTTGACATTTTATGTTTATTTATTTGTATTTTAAAGTTTGTTTTACTCTTTGTTGTCAGCACTTTGGTCAACTGTGTTGTTTTAAAGTGCTTTATAAATAAATTGAATTGAATTGAATTGAATTATTTTGGGTAGAATAAAAGCAGCTTTACATTTTATATGTTGACCATAAAAACATTTCAAGTGTCAATATTAAAAAAGTCAATATTATTAACCCCTTTAAGCAATATATTTTTTTCTGATTGTGGAACAACCCACACACATACAATGATTTGCCTAATTAATTACCCTAATTAACCTAGTTAAGCCTTTAAAAGACACTTTAGGCTGATTACTAGTATCTTGAAAAATATCTAGTATAATATTATATACTGTGATCATAGCAAAAATAAAAGAAATCAGATATTAGAAATGAGTTATTAAAACTATTTTAAAAAACTTCTTTTTATTAAGCAGAACTATACAGGGGCAAAAATTCAGGAGGGCTAATAATTCTGACTTCAATTGTGTATTCCTATTATATGTGTCATATTATGCAGTTTTTATAAGATGTGTGAAGATTTAACATAAAATACCTCACAAATCATTTAGTAAACTATGCTGTTAATCCCCCTTTTTGGCTGGAAGCAAAAACAGACAGTTATGTACATTTGTCTTTAAAGGCAAATACACTTTTGCTCTCCACCGCTGTTTTAAAACAGTGTGGTGCCCTTAAAGCATGTGCGTCAGATACTCTAAAAACAACAAACCAAACAACTTTAAACCTTATAAACCCTCATAAAGCACAATCAATGTTTTACGCAGCGGATGCCCTTCTGGCTTCAACCCAGTACTAGGAAACACCCATGAACTCTCAAACTCACACAAACTCTCATACACTACGGCCAGGTTTGTTTTACCCAGTTCACCTAAAGCGCATGTTTTTGGACTCTGTGGGAAACCTGGGCACCCATAGAAAATCCATGCGAACACGAGGAGAACATGCAAACTCCACACAGAAATGGCCCAGCTGGGACTTTACCCAGCAACCTTCTTGCTGTAAGCCTACAGTGCTAGCCACTGAGCCACTTTGCCGCCTAATAAAGCACAATATGACACCTAAATGTATCAATGCAATAATGACTGTAACTGAAAATATGTACATACATGTAAGGACACTTCATCAAAGCCTGGGTAGAGTCTCAGTATGTGCCCTTCAGTCTCGAATGGGATGGGTTTGCCATAGGGGTGATAGGAGAAGTCATGTTTCCAGAGACCAAGCACTCCGTCCATATCAAACGAAAGCTCGCCCTCTTCTGTCTCATCTCGAGGGAAGACAGGGGTGATGCACTCCATACGGGTGGGCTTGGCTTTACCTCTGCACTCCTTCAGAAAACCACAGTATGAAATGAATGCCAAAGAAAATATCAAAAATATAGATTTGAATCAATTGAAGTCAGAATCATTAGCCCTTCTGAATTATTACACCCCCCCCCCCCTTCCCCCCCTGTATATTTTAGTCCCCATTTTCTGTTTAACTGAAAGAAGATTTTTTTCAACACATTTCTAAGCATAAAGTAAAGCCGCCTTTCAACTGCATGTGACATTTGACTCGACTGTCGGAATACGCCCCCTTGTGGCAGTCGCAAGGAACTTTCCGTTTTGTCACGCACCATGGGAGAGAAGCTGTTCTCGCCAGAGGTGAGTAGTAACGAATTACATTTACTTTGTTACAATTACTCGAGTAAAATTGTTGGGTAATGTGTACTTTTTGGGTACATTTAAAAATGTGTATTTTTACTCAAGTAAATTATAAGAGAAAAACCATTACTCTTACTTTGCTACATTTGGTGGCGTTCCACCGGTACTGTCAAATGATAATGAATATGATTTACAATACTTATTTGTAAATATCATGAGGCGTCACATTGGAGAGGTTGTGTCGCGAGAGGTTGCTTTAGAGATGCGTCTCCCACTTTTGATTAGAGCGCGCCAGTATTGGAGTGATGACTGAAGTCGAGGAAAACATGCGAGTTTAAACTAAAGTCACCCCATGGCCATCTACGGTTCCGAGAGGACGGTCACGCTGTATGTGCAGTGAGCTTCACAGAGCAGCTCATCGCGGCCTCAAGTTCAGTCTATGTTTTCACTCCAAGATGTCAACATTGAACTGACATCACAGCATATACATGAACTACAGCTCCAATCTGAAAAATCACCAAATGGTAAGTGTCAAAATGATCAGATTTTGATTCATATTAATGATAAATATGGGATAACTAAAAAAACACTGCTGTAAATTGGGATAACTGATTAGCCATGCACATACAAGTCATTCACACTGTTAACCATTAAAAATAAAACATTTAACATTTTTTATATATATAAAAATGGTGTTTATATATATTAGTCGGTATTATAAGTAAGACTTTACCGAGAAGAAAAAATATCATAGGAAACACTGTGAACAATTTCTTCCTTTGTTAAACAACTTGGGAAGTATTTGAAAAAGAAATAAAATTACAGGAGGTCGAATAACTTTGATATTTAATAACTTTTGATATATATATTTTTATATATATATTTATTTAAAATTATATATTTTGATATATATATTTATATATATAAAAATTTCCGCAAGTACTTGTACTTTTACTGGAGTATAAGTTTTGGATACTCTAGCCACCTCTGGTTCTTGCATTGTCTGAAATAAAGAAGTGCAAAAGCAAGAGCCTTTATTCTCTGTGCGTTCACCATTTTTGAATGAATGAATACTAGAAACTCATAGACTGCTAAAAATTTGGGAGGGAATGTGGAGACAACATAAAAAAATATTTTTTATTACACATTTATGAATAGAAATGTTTTTTGTTTTTTTGTTTTTTTAATACAGACCTTTTTATGATTCAAAAAATAACAAAAAAACTCTCATCTCGCGCACACGGACCTGCCTGGACAACACTGGAATACATCACATCCAGTCAGCCGGTCGCATACGGTCTAGTCGCAGGAGTTCAAATATTTCAACGTATCCGCAGCTCAAATCAGATGCAAATTTTCTGCATACGGAGAAGTTCGAAACTCCATGCAGCTCCTAGACTACTCTCCATTGGAAATTAATGACTTCAAGTCTGCCACTTGTCCTTTGTCGTGTGCAGTGGAAAGGCGGCTTAATAGCTTTGATAACTAATTTCTAATAACTAATTTATTTTATCTTTGGCAAGATGACAGTACATAATATTTTACTTGATATTTTTCAAGACACTAGTATTTAACTTAAGGTGACATTTAAAGGCTTTACTAGGCAAGTCATTGTATAATGATGGTTTGACAATTGAAAAATAAAATTGCTTAAGGGGGCTAATAATATTGAACAAAAAAGTTAAAACTGCTTTTATTCTAGCTGAAATAAAACAATTAAGTCTTTCTCCAGTAGAAAAAATATTATAGGAAATACTATGAAAAAAAAACGTGCTCTGTTAAACATCATGTGGGAAATACTTGAAAAAGAAAAATTATTAACAGAAGGGCTAGTAATAGTGACATCAACTGTATCTCAGAAGTGAAAGTTTACAGCTCATACAGTGGAAACCGGTTTGAGGTGGCTTTCTTTTGGCTTAAAGTAGACCACAGTTCTGTAGACGGAGTCCAGATTCCGGCCTTCAATTATGATCCGTGACCCACTGCAATTTGACAACATTAAACGTTAGATATTGCGTGCCATTTCTAAAAGATTGATTTATTAACGAGTTAGTTCACCCAAACCTGTCATAATTTACTCACCCCTCACTTGTTCCAAACCACTTAGAGTTTTTTCTCTTCTGTTATTTTGACTAATATTTTGAAGAAAACCAGTAACCAGCTATGTTTCCATTCACCTATTTTTATGCTCATTTTGGAATATCGCGTAAACAAATGCTTGATAGAGTCTTTTCACATTTCAGGGTTTCTCAGAAGTCAGCATAGTTGTGTAATCTTAAGAAGAGAGTACAACAGTTATTTTTTACAATACTGTTTGCTCAAAAAATAATGAAAAAAACTTCACCATGGTGTTATCAAGACTTTTAGAAAAAGGAAAAAATAGTGTGAGACTGACAATAGCAGGCAGAAGAGAGAATAACATCAAATTTACTGTCCTGCTCATAGACACTGCATTAGAAACACCTCGCCCAAATACTCTTTTTTAATTTTGTAATTTGATCAAAGATGATATTCATTCATTCATTTTCTTTTCTGCTTAGTTCCTTTATTAATCTGGGATCGCCACAGTGGAATGAACCGCCAACTTATCAAGCATATGTTTTATGCAGCGGATGCCCCTTCAGCTGCAACCCATCACTGGGAAACACATACACACTCATACACACAAACATACGCTACAGACAATTAAGCCTACCCAATTTACCTGTACTACATGTCTTTGGACTGTAGGGAAAACCAGAGCACCCGGAGTAAACCTACGTGAACGCAAGGAGAACATGCAAACTCCACACAGAAACAGAGTTTGGACTCTCAGCAGTGATTATTAAACCACACTGAACTGAGCTAAACTGAACTTAGACACTGAAAACTAAACTGACACTGTTTCAATTTACTATGATCTTCTATGTGTAGCTGCTTTGACACAATCTACATTGTAAAAGCACTATATAAATAAAGGTGAATTAAATTAAATCATTGGATAGAATCGGTGCCTTATTCACAAATGTTTTATGCAATCTTCGAGTTTTTGCGCATAAGTCTAATTCACATCTTTGAATGCAAACATAGCTATGTACTCCATAGTATTTGTTTTTCCTAATATGGATTTCAACAGTTATCGGATTTCAGCTTTCTTTAAAATATCTTCTTGTGTGTTCAACAGGAGAAAGAAACTCAGGTTTAGAAGCACTTGAATGCGAGTAAATAGTGTTTACATTTTTATCTTTGGGTGAACTCTACTTTTAAATAATGAACAGTACCTGTCAAAGCTGCAGTCGGGCAGCACTGCAAGAATTTCTGGAGTCTTTTTGTAGCGGAAGACTTTAGTGGTCATGACACGGGACTTATCGATGTAGACACGCAGCACCACATCTTTCACCTCTGTCACGGGCTGAGAGAGACACACGATGGAGGACAGGTTTCCTCTGGCCACAGATACACTGCAGTATAAACAACATTCATTTCAGAACATGAACAAACCTATTTGATTGCAATAAAATGTCCAGCCTTTTTCAAATCTGTGCAATTATGTGTTGTAAGGAACACATAAGAAAAGAGTAAGAAACAGTGAAGCATTGAAACTTTCCATACATTTAGCTAAATCGTTAAAATGCCCTTTACTTATGTACATGTACAATTAGCTTTTCTTTAAGAAATCTATTTTTTTGTTCTGCCTGGATGCATAAAATGGATAAATAATTGACAGTAAGGGATATTTATGGTGTAACAAAGGAGTGAAAAAACTGTTTTTATGATTGTATTGAACAAAGAATTAAACAAAATGTATCATGGTGCGTTTTCAAACTTTTCACCTTTGTTGGTATTTAATGTCTCTTTTCAGTGCTTCTACACTAACAGACCCTTTGCATTACCATTACAATCCACTAATTTAAACACACTGACACACACTTGTATTGGTGGTTTATGAGGAGAAATCTAAAAGAGTAATCGTAGGTACAGGCGAAGAGGTCAACTGTTTATAACTGTAAATAAGCAAGAGATCAAAAAATAGCAAGACAACAGAGTAAAAGAGTTTGTAACGTACACTAGGAAAACAAGACTCAGTCATAGATGTGTGTGTGGGTGAAGTGTATATAGTCCAAGGAATCAGTCATGACGAGCTTCAGCTGTGAGTATGTAATCAAGAGGTGATCTGGAACTGGTGTGCGACAATGGTGCATGATGGGATATGTAGTTCATTAGACTGAAAGGAAGTGTTCTCCAGTGATCTTCGAGGGCTACATCACTTGTGATAATAACGCTTACCCCTAAACCCAATCCTCACAGATTTTAAACTTTACAAGACCCCATTAAGTAAGATTTTAAGCATTTTGAATTATGAGGACACAGTGTATGTCCCTATAAACCATCTTAACATTGTATGTAACCCATGTCATTATACAATTGTGTGTCCTTGTAAGCCACACAAACCAGGACACGCACCTTTGAACTGGACATGATTCTCCATCAAGAGTGACTTTCCTGTTCTTCCCAGAATCCAGATAAGGCCCTGTGATGGTGATAAGAGTCCCTCCGTCCACTGGCCCATAGTCTGGCTGAACCTCAGTGATGTTTGGAACCTAAAATAATGAAGCAAACTTCATCTACCCTCAGCACAATTGCTCATGACTAGATCAGGATTTTAAACACTGGAAATGTATGTTTTGCTTGTGTAACAAGTAATTACCACAAAGGTGAATCCAGGCATCTCAGCACTTCCGTCAATAGAGTAGTGGCCCTCCACCTGACCCTCATGCACTTTAGCTGTGACGTTCAGTGGCTTAAAAAGTGTCTCTGTTGTTCCAGAGCGGATCTTACACAACAAGCTAGACAGAAAAATGAGCAATTACATAAACCTTTTCTTTGTACAACTAACTGTACCAATAGATGATATATACAGTTAAATGATTTAACCCAAAATCTTGATAGAAGCCTGCCATGCATCCACTTTCCACATGAATATAAGATACATTTACACATATATACATTTCAATGTAGTTGTGTATTTTGACAGAAAAAGTTAATTGATCTAATTTAGGATAAATTGTTCACTCAAAGTGAGAGATAAGCAGATGAATTGTATGTGTATGAGGAAAAAATATATATTGTTTTTAAAAATAAAAGACAGGGCATGAGAATGAAACAGTCTTATTTTTAATGACACACACATGTATAGTTGAAGTCAGAAATATTAGCCCTCCTGTGATTTTTTTTCTTTTATAAATATTTCTTAAATGATGTTTAACAAAATCAGAGCCATTCCAAACCTGACTGATTTAGCATATTTAGCTAATATACATTTTTAAAATTGATTGTTGTAGATTTTTAAATTCTAAAACCTTTATTTTGAGATTTAATTCTAACTTTAAATCCCTAATTTCTTGTCCTATTTATCAAGACATTCCACATAAACAATATACAGTTGAAGTCAGAATTATTAGCCCTCCTGGGAATCTTTTATAAATATTTCCCAAATAATGTTTACGGAGCAAGGAATTTTTCACAGTATTTCCTATAATATTTTTTTCTTCTTGAGAAAGTCTGATTTGTTTTATTTCAGCTAGAATAAAAGCAGTTTAAATTTTTTAAAACCATTTTAAGTTCAATATTATTAGCCCTCTTTCGCAATATTTGTTTTCAATTGTCTATAGAACAAACCACTGTTAAACAATGACTTGCCGAATTACCCTAACTTGCCTAATTAACCTAGTTAAGCCTTTAATGTCACTTTAAGCTCAATACTAGTATATATAAAAGTCTAGTAAAATATTATGTACATATTGTGTGTGTGTGTGTGTGTGTGTGTGTGTGTGTGTGTGTGTGTGTGTGTGTGTGTGTGTGTGTGTGTGTGTGTGTGTGTGTGTGTGTGTGTGAAATAAATGCTTCTCAATTTTAAAATCTTTGTGTGTGAAATATTATTACCATTTAAAATAATATTTAGTTTGATTATTATTTATGTCTTTAAAGAATCATTCTAATCATTTTAATTTACTAATATTTACTAAAAAAAAACTTTTGCAACAACCATGATTGATTTCCTGGATGCTTTGGTGAATAGAAAGGCTTTAATTACAGAATGTATTGTCGCTTTTGATCAGTTTAATGCATCTGTGCTGAATAACATATATAAATAAGCTGAATATTAATTTTTGTCTATAAATACTCACTCCAGACTTTTGAATAGTATGTAAGTGACAAATCTACTTCTACACCAAAAAATATCTGTTAATTAACAGTTTCCACATTTTGTGATTCACAAGTGTTTTCTGTTTATTTACGGCTGTGATGTTAATCTCTGCTCTGTCCATTTTTGATATTGAAAATTAAACTAATAATGTGACTTTTATCCACATTTTAGCAGTTTGAAATAATATACTGTATAAGAAATAATATTGAGAGAAATAAGTCTGTAAAAAACAGAAAATGTGCTGGCAGCTTATTACAAGGTTTTTGTAGTGTAATGAACACCAACCCAGACAAGATATCATTTTCAACTAATTTTAATGTTCACAAACTTTTCAAGGTTAAAAGTTGTTGGAAGAAAGATCAAGGTCTCATAATCCGGAAAACAAATACAAAATTAAAATATTTATCACAAAAAAAACAGAACACTGCAAATTTATGAATATTTTAACAGTGTAGAATCATTTGGTGTCAGTGAGAATATGAATTGATTAGCACTAACTGTGTGCAGTTGCTTTTGTGTGGCTGGACCACACAGGCGGTTTCACCCAGCTTCACCTCGTGAGTTCTGGTGGAGATGGCGGGTCGAAGAGGTGACTGAAACTCCCATCCACACAGAGTCAACTCACTCTGACCATCAGGGGGAGCTGTCTTGGGGAAAAACTACACAGAACATTTCAAGACATGCTTCATGTACTCACAGTCTCAGTTTGTAAACTTCGTTTCAAATGAGCTGTTAATACATAGATATTCACAGCATCCTAAATGGCACACTATACACTAAGCAAGTATGCACAATGTATTAACACACTTATACACTCAACAGCATAGTACATGATAGTGTCGCCCCAAATGTAATACTAACGTTTTTTTTTTGTTTTTTTTTACTAACCGGAAATTCTGAGTTTCCCAGATGATGTTTGACCAAAATAGTGAGAAAAATGTCCAACTACCAAATAATACCTGCCATGAGTATAACCACATTCACAATCGGGAGGTGGCATAATTACTCTCGTAGGAGAACAGTGCTTTTGGGCTATACCTACATTTCAGGGAGTTGATTACCACAACAAAAAACGGGTAAGAAACAATTGGTGTTGGGAATATGCTTCCTTAAAAAAAACAACAACAGTATTATTAAAAGGTCACAATCAAGCATATGCATCTAAAAATAGGATCACGTTAGCTCCGATGGATGAAGAACCGACCCCCGCAAAGGATAACAAAGGAAAAAACAATCATACAGGTTTTTTTTTTTTTAAGAATGTTGTGTTTTTATGGCTTAATTAGCAAAAACAACCAACCACAAGAAGTGTAAAACTGCATTTGTAGCCATTTTACTTTGTTTTGCTGAAAATTCAACATGGACTTACAACAATAAAATTCTGGGGCTTTTTGACTTACATAGTAAACCACAGAATCATAATAATGGCTATGGTACATTACGCATTGATTAACCGTGTTTTTGTAATTTGTAATCATTCCTGATTACCATAAAAAAATATATATATATAATGTTTTTTTTATTAATTATCATACATGAAACACCAGGGATCAGAACAGGCATTTGATGTTAAATAATATTCAAGTGATCATATACGAAACACCTGGGATTAGGACAGGCATCTGTTATAACAGTATTAAGGTAATCTCACAGCTATCATAAATTCATTCATTCATTAGTAGCTTAGTCCCTGTTATTAATTAGGGATCACCACAGTGGAATGAACTGCCAACTTATCCAGCACATGTTTTTCGCAGCGGATGCCTTGCCTTTCCAACTGCAACCCAAAACTGGGAAACACCCACACAATCCTAATTTAGCTTAATAAATTCACCTCTACCGCATGTCTTTGGACTGTGGGGCTATCTTAAGTTACTTTGTTGAATTTAAAATACACTGACTTCACATGAAACACTTGCGATCAGGACAGGTATTTAAAAGTACTGCATATAAAAGGCATTGGAAATGAAACCCCTGCGATCACGTACAGGTATCTAAAGCAAACGGCTGTTTTCACAATCTGCGTATGATCCATGACTTATGCAAATTCACACATAGGCCACGCCTACCCAATAGCGATTACGCTGAAACCCCTGGAATAAAAGTGCCTGCCGTTGCTTTTGCATTACAAAATAAATGAAGTAATCCAACATCAGTGGCTGATAGCTCCACCCCTTGAATAAGTAGAGCAAGTGCACCATCCGGGTATTTAAAGTGCACTTATTCTTTTCATAATAAAAGACATATGTCTGTGTGAATGAGCTACTTGCACTATTTCTACCACAAAATGGCATTGAATAGTGCATTAGCATACGATTTGGGACCCATCTATCAACAAATTATAATTGCAGCTGAATTACGCTTGAGTTCAATATCTCACCTCTGTGATGACAGGTGGACACGATTCATTTACCCAGTGTGCCCTGCACTCAGAAGCCCATGTGCACTGACCCGAGCACCAGCCACATCCCATAAACTTGGGTGCAGTCAAGCACATGGCACATGTTAGGAAGTGCCGACATCCTGGACCCCTCTGAGGAACCCGAATCATCTGCCAGATATAAATAAAAAGCTTTTATAAACTTTTCTGAAATCTTGACTGTCAAAATAGAAATATTAATGCACATCATACTCAAATACTGCATCTGGTTCATTACTTCAAGTGACCCCATAAATCTTGTTCAAATATTACCTTTGTGTATAATGTTGCTGTTTATGAGTGTGAAGTTTTAAAGATTATACATTCGTTTTTCTTCGGCTTAGTCTCTGATTTATCAGAGGTCGCCACAGCAGATTGAACCGCTAACTATTCCAGCAAACTGCTTGAAATGAGCCATCAGTAATTCCAGTCTTATGTTCTTGCACAAACCTACAAAGTGAATTGTTTTCAATGGAGCCTGTGAACAATGTTTACTTTGACCCTAAAAGCTGCGCTGGTAGCTGAGGCCTAAAAAAGTTCATATTTTAAACCTATTCTGTGCTGCAAAATCAAATGTTGAAAAAACTTAAATTTCAGTAGTAAAATCAAAGCCATCAATACCATTGTATCACTGTTTAAACATGTTGAAAAAGAGTTGAAATTCAGAAATGGTAATGAGAGTTGGGTTTTTGACATGCTTCGTAAACAATCAGGGCCATTTGACCAATCAGAGTAGATTCTCAGAAAGATGAGAGGAGAGGAGACCTGGGGCCTCATGTATCAACGCTGCGTATGCACATAAACTTTGCGTACTCCAGGTTTCACGCTCAGAATCGCTCACGTTTGGATTTACTAACAATGAACTGAACGTGGGAATGTGCGCAGCTCCACGCTAGCTTTATGGCTGGCGTACGCACATTTTTTGTGCGTGTCTGTTTTATTTCCATTGGCGACTCCTACAGGCAGTTGTGCTAAATTTCTTTCTACAAAGTTTCTGAGCCTTGCAATGGCAGCTGTATGAGACGGGTTCATCTAGCAGGTATATAAGGTTTCCATACCATACAGTTGACCAGCTAAACATTAAAGCACAATTTGCAGCAGTCGCCTGTTTTCCCAATGTAATCTGAGCTATCTACTGCACGCACATTGCTATAAAGACACTATCTGAAGATGAATTTGTATGCATGAATCAGAAACATTTCCATTCAATAAATGTGCAAATAAAATATGATGCACAAACTTATTGATTCCCACTTTTCTTTCTTGTGATAAATAGTTGGCAAAATCTGATATGTAGAGGGGGAAAAAAGAAGAAAGAGTTCATCAGACGCTGGTTTCAAACCGAGTTCAAGCTCGAACGTGTCAGAACATGTTAATATGCGTTTTACGAGCTGCGCCACTGAGACTGTTAAGGGTGCTGCAACATTTTACATCTATAAACCACACTTTTTCTTTTTTAATGCACTCAGTGCGATGTTCAGACCCAACTGTGTTAACCGCATCAGCTAAACTCTCCCACTCTATATTTTTCTTTTGTTGTTAATTCCGGAGAACAAACTTGCAAATAACACCGCTTTTCTACCTACGAAAGCAGCACCTCCATTTCACATTCTGTTCAAAGTTTCTCTTTTTGCTTGCTTTTGCCATTGCTTTTTCGTTGGGTTTTGCCAAAGTAGAGTCATTTGCATATTCATACGGGGGAGGAGGCAGGGAGGGGTTTTGTGCTCGTGTATGTTGCGCTCAGTTTCATTCGGATGTACAAAAGAATATGCGTGAGATTCCACGTACGCATTGTTTTCATACATCTGAATTTTTTTCTGCGTACGCACATTTACAGCTTTGTGCGTACGCAATGTTTTAGTAAGATTTCCACGCAAGTCTTCATACATGAGGCCCCAGATCCATGAATGGACATTTTAGACAGAGTGAGTAAATTCTGATGCTGCCGTGTAAATTAGTAGAAAATTATTAGTAGAAAATATTTTGTTGAACTTGGATGACTATAAAAACAAGACTGCCATTGGATAAAAATAAGCAAGATTGCCCCCTTTGGAAGATGATTACTAGAGATCAAAAAGTTGTGCTTCCCTGGCAATATGTAGATGACCATTGCAGGAGATTTAAAAAAAGACTAGCAGCCTTTAAAATAGTTTAACTGTGCACTTTAAATAAATAGTTTAGCCAAAAATGATCATTTACTTTTTTACTTATAAATGCATTTTTCCATCCTTGTGTGGTTTCAGCCCTTTGAGTTTTTTTTTTTTATTTCTGTTAAACACAAAAGAAGATATGTTGAAGAAATCTACAAACCTGCAACCATTGACTTCCACAGTAGAACAAAAAGTACTATGGAACAGGTTTGGAACAAGTAAACAGTGAATACATGATGACATAATTTTAGTTTTTGAGTGAACTGTCCCTTTAAAAATTCTTCTATATCATAAAAAATACCATAATATGTTTGCAGATTAAGAAACATGTTAAGTGAACATACTTGTTCACCTGGAGAACAACGCTAAAGTCAGATATTCACCTTTGAAAATGTGCATTTCATGTCAGAACGTTTATCTTTGTTTTGGTCTCTATAACCAACCCTCTGTCAGTTTACCCAATTATGTTTAGACACCCTGGGTTGCCTTGGTGGAAAACAGCATATGTCATTTCATCATAAAGGCTGTCTCATTATATGCGAGCACGGCTAATAATGCAACCTATGAATGACCGTAGCCGCCTAGATTTTTTTGGCCAATATCGCAAACTGATAACTCTTAAGATTTGGAGGGCGATAGCCGATATACTATAGCCGTTAATTATAAATATTTCAAAATGTCAATTTTTATACGTTGATTAACTGATTTTAATTTTAAAAATTCATAAAAGTTTGAAGTGATCTTATGAACGGAGTAGCCGACTCAAAGCTATAATTTAAAAATTGCAAGGTGATTATACAGACCTATATTCATGATTTTGTAGCATGACAAAAATAAATTATTTCCGTAAACTTCGCATAGCAAATTAACATGCAACTTGACAGTGGCTTATAAAAAATTAAGTTAAATAACAAAATGGCACTTAATTAACAAACAAGATCAATAAATATGTCTTAAGTAAAATAAAAATAAAAGAACTAAGAACTCAAGCTCACATGTTGTTAAACAACGTCACAGTAATGTACATACAGTTGAATTCAGAATTACTAGCCCTCCATTGAATTTTTTTCTTTTTAAATATTTCCCAATTGATGTTTAACAGAGCAACGGAAAATTTTCACAGTATGTCTGATAATATATTTTTCTTCTGAAGAAAGTCTTATTTGTTTTATTTTGTCTAGAATAAATGCAGTTTTAAATTTTTTTCATCATTATACAAAATTACATAATTAAACTTGCCTAATTACTATAACCTGCCTAGTTAACCTAATTAACCTTGTCAAGCCTTTAAATGTCACTTTAAGCTGTATAGAAGTGTCTTGAAAAATATCTAGTAAAATATTATGTACTGTCATCACGGCAAATATAAAATAAATCAGTTATTAGAAATGAGTTGATAAAACTATTATGTTTAGAAATGTGTTGAACAAATCTTCTCTCCGGTAAACAGAAATTAGGGGAAAAAATAAACAGGGGAACTAATAATTCAGGGGGCTAATAATTCTGAATTTAACTGTATGTACAATTATACAATGTCTGAAAAGGCATTTTAAGAGGTGTTTTGACAGTTCAGAGCAACCGTACAAGTGAAAAGCTAAATACAGATAGTACGTTTTACTTTAGAAAACGAGGCATAAATTCATCCTGTTTGGCGTTTTCTATTCTTTTGAACACACGTGACTGCTGCTTGTCAGTCAGACAGCACTTCTATGTTCCTTCTTGCTGTCAATTGCGGGAAAAATTATCGATGAATGGTTTATGATAAACCACTGTAAGTTTAAAACTAACTGAAGGAGCTGTGTGACGAAGCGGAGTCAGATTAGAAAGTCAGATTTTGATACAACACCTGAGCATTGAGCACAGATGACTTTGACACAGTACATAATCTAAAGACAGAATGTGGCGGAGCGTTGAGAACCCCTATGCTGGATTCAGTGTCTGGTGCATCGCTGCTGTTATGTTTACACGTGTATTATTTTTCCTGAGGCGATTTAAACCAAAATACACAATGACACTCAAGTGCTTACGCAAGTGTGAGGCCGGCAGTTCACTACAATCATGTAATTTATCGGCTTTAAGATATCGGTCTAATTTTGACATCGGACAGATAACGATAACCTTAAAAATAGCATTTATCGGCCGATAACGATATGGCTGCCGATATATCGTGCATCCCTAACATGCTTACAATCTATAAAAAATATCTGGAAACCTGTGTATGAGTCATGTCAGAGAAGTAGTGGATGTGTTAAAAAAAAAACAACAACTATCCAATATTTTAAATTTGTACCAATCTGGCAACCTGTGTGTGCTTCATGTCAGAGGAGCAGGGGATGGGTTAAAATATATATACAATATTTTCAATTTAGACCGCAATACCTAGTTAAACCACTAATCCTACATACATCACTTTTAAATATTTATTGATACATACCTTATCTCCAACCACAAACAGTAGATGGTTTTGAGAGAGAACTGCTGCAGTAGACGACACTTTCTGGTTCTCTACAAGTGAGTAATTAGCAAAGATAATGGGGCTGGACCTTCTCAGGACGAGCTGTGGTGAGAAAAGCAGATGATATAATGATGCATAAAAATGACATTGGTAGTATCTGTCTTGTTTATATTGTGTACCTGCAGCAGTCTCCCGTCTGAGGTGCCTATATGAGCCACTGTCTTGTTCTCGATGCTGGTGACTAGCAATGAGGTGAGCAGGACTCCTCTCATCTGTCTGTTGAACAGGTCGACTCTGTAGTACGGCTGAGCCACCAGCGTGGGATGATCTCTGCATGTCATGTTGTGCTCCATGCTCTAATCACACACATGTGTAAAAATAAAAATAATCAGGAAAGCACTGACATCTTTTAAAGGGGTGAAAATACTTGTTTGAGGTTCTATATTATGTTGAGCACAATATAGTATGAACAGGCGTGGATTTAAAGCAGCAAGCAGCCCTTAGGGCCCCCTACACAAATTTGTCTTACACCCTCAATCATAAAGCAGTCTAGCAGTCAAATCAATTAAATATTCCGTCCGTCCGTCCGACCGACCGACCGACCGACCGACAGATAGATAGATATATAGATAGATAGATAGATAGGAGTAACAGTTATAAATGTCAGTTGTATCACAGTTGTATCACAATGTTGTGCATAATTGGGATATTACAGTAATGTAGTCACCAATTTAGATTCTGACCACAAACATGGAACAAAATGATCCCAAATGTCTTTTTGTACCTCAGTGCTGTGGTGATTCGTCTGCAGTGTAAACTAAGATATCATATTTTGCTTTCTGATGCAATTCCACTATTGTTTGGAAGTTTAATTTATCAAACAGCAGGCATTGGCCACATAACATAAGCAGAATCTGCTGACATGTTTTACTATTTCTGCACAGAACTTGTGTACAATCTGCAAATTCATGCGGAATGACTGTGAATAAGATATACTATATGACAGTATAGTAACTAAAAACTTAAAACGTGAAATAAAAATAATAATAATAACTTTCATTTAAGGTTTACAATGCCAATTCTATTACATTCACTTGTTTGCTAAACAAAGCAATTCTCCCATATAATATATCTACTAAAACACAGAAAATATTATATTACAAACTGTATTGTAAAAAGATCACATAAACATTTGCATATTAAGTCAATAATATTACTGAAATTAATATGAAAATGGAATAAATATATATTTACACACATGTACATAAGTAAATAGATTTATTGGGTGCGGATATCTGGCCTTAGAAAATTGGGAAGTGGCTGTAAATTTTCCATATCCTGTATAGCATGCTAGCTATTCAAAACTAACATGTTAACATGATGAAAAACAAAGACTGTATGAACATTTCTCAAACTTGGTTGGTAGAAAAGTTGCACAACCAACAATTTCACTAAAATTACTAAGTACAAGCGTGGAAGCGAAAGATTGAAGCAGTGTACTGATGCTGTGAAACGTTACCTGATAATACCTGACAAATGCATTTTCATTGTGAAAAAACCCAAGTTATCTTTCAAAAACAACAGCAGAACTACAACACTTCTAGCTGCTTAAATGTGCTAAATCATCAAGTACGTCCAAAATGAGTGTTCTGGTAAGTGTCTGTCACCGGAACTTTAAAAATTACACTGTAATTTTCTCCTTTTCCCACTCCTTTCCCATAAACATTGACTTCACTGGATAAAACCTCTGCTTCTAACTGCACTGAAACACACAAATACACACCAACAGTAAACTGTTTTTAAACCAACAAACTCACAACCACACTCGAGACATTCTCCCACCCACAACAAGGGTGTTTGGATTGTCAAAGTATACAATTCTCATCTGGGCACTAAAATGAAGATCTTCAATGCCAATTAAAACATTTGCTTAACATTTCTAATACATTTCAGTTGTGTGCTGACATTTAAAGAGCTCCTATTAAAGGTCATTGGTTTTGGGCATCTCCAACAACAGTCTGATATGCATGCAAGGTCAAACTTCTCATTGTCTTATAATCTGCTTTTATTTTTACCTAATTATCCCAACGACTCCCATATGAGTTGTTCAGCGATTCATTTGTTCCCAAAACCCTCCTTAGCGCGATGCTAATCTGCGCTGATTGGTCTAATGACCCAGTTTGTTGTAATTGGTCAACTGAGTTCAGCATGAGACAGAGAGAATTACCCAGCACGGCTTATCAACAAATACATGAACATATACATGTAATGAAATAAATCAGTGTATTTTAACTGCATTTCAAAATATCAAACCAAGTGGAATTGGAGGAGAACTGTGTAAATGGTTACAAAGGTTGTTTTCTTGAATAATAGTGTACAGTTAATGTTTGATAAGTGTAGTGCATTCATTGTCATATTTACTCTATTGATGATGAAATCCTAAAAAAGACTTGAGACAGAATACACAAGCAAGGGATTTACTGACCCACACTCAGATGATTTCAGAACAAGTCAATTAAAATACCTTTAGGTTTTTTTAATGTGTTATGACACCACAGCACCCACTAGAAAGACTGTAAGTCTCAATGCAAAACAATATTGGAAAAGGTGAAGGGATATAAAGAAGAGAAAAGAAAGTGGGACAATATCTGGAAACCAGTGGAGGGCAATTAGAGCAACCCACCAATTCTTCAAAACCACATGTACTGCCATTTGCTAAAGTTAGGAATTAAAAACAGAGGAGTGTTTAAATATTTTACAAGTTTATGTATTTTTATTTTTAGACAACCATCTGTTTTTTTGTTTGTTTATTTTTTTTTGTACATCAAAATCAGTCTTACGTAACCAATACTTGGACATGACCACAATATTTTTTGCGATTGCAATTTATTTATTCATTTTATTTTCAGCTTAGTCCCTTTTATTAATCCAGGGTTGCCACAGCGGAATGACCCACCAACTTATCCAGCACGTTTTTTCGTAGCAGATGCGCTTCCAGCCGCAACCCATCTCTGGAAAACATCCACACACTCATTCACACTCATACACAATGGACAATTTAGCCTACCCAATTCACCTGTACCGCATGTCTTTGGACTGTGGGGGAAACCAGAGCACCCAGAGGAAACCCACGTGAACGCAGGGAGGACATGCAAACTTAACACAGAAACGTCAACTGACACAGCTGAGGCTCGAACCAGCGACCTTCTGTCTGTGAGGTGACAGCACTATCTACAGCGCCACTGCGTCGCCCATTGCAATATATATTTACAAATTAACAAATAACGTTAAAGCCATTTTAGAATGATATTTCCATTCTACCTAACTGGTGTCAAAGCATATAATAGGACATTTACCTTTTTAACATCAAATTATAGAATCTAAATAACCATAAGAATGCTAAGTATTTTGATGTGTTTATGGCTAGTTAGTTGCATTATTATGCTGTTATTTAATCATTATATTATCAGTGGCATAAAATGAACTCAAAATGATAATAATATCACTTATCGCAACAATTTCTGACAATATATTGCGCAACAAAATTTCCTTATCATGCAGGCCTAACAACAATAACAAAAAAATAATAACAATAAGAATCTAAATTTGGAGAAATTAAAGTACTGCAATACAAAATAAAGACAATTAGAAACATTAGGCAAATAGAAATTAGATGGACATGCAACTATTTCTGCGTCACGCTATTGTTCACCGTTGTTGCCACAAAAAAGTTCATTTAAAGATGTTTTTATTCATGTTCAAATTATAACATAAAAGATTTTGTAATATTTTTTTAAAGAATTGTATCAAATTATGAAAGGACTATTATTACTTTTAAAATGCATTATTTTATTATTAGGGATGTCCCAATCAGATTTTTTGCCCTCGAGTCTGAGTCTTTTGTTTTTGAGTATCTACCAATATCGAAACCCAAACTGGTACTTCTGTAATACATAAAAACAATATAGAAGAGTGAAGAAACAGATCCAGGATGTTCCTTATTTTTTATTTAATTCACCTTATTTTAACATTCAACAACTCTGTTAACAAACTGTGAAGTAGCTTGTACAATCAAGTAATAAATAACATAAATTCTTCACTTTTGGATTTTCGTGCAACAGTAAATATAAAAAAATAAAAACAAAGAACACCTCAACTTAACAAGTTTATATATCTCACAGCTGGCAATGTTGTCAATATTAACTCTATAATACCTCCAGACCGCAAACATACTCGCGCTTTCCGCTTCAAGCTGCTTCCGTGTTTACTTTGCCAGCATTTAACCAATAGCATCCCTGCAACAAAGTGATGTCATGCCGCACTCAGTACAGTTTCTGTGTGAAGTCAAGAAAGAAGTCGAAGTCTGTGCCACCACATAACTATAGATGTGTTTAAAAAATTATGAGAATGTATATAGACATATATATTTAAATCCTGACTGGGAGGCACGGTCCAATCCCAATCAAGTCTGAAACCTCGTGATCGGGCCCGATTTCCGTGATTGGATCTGGCATCCCTATTTATTATTATTACTACTATTAGTAGTAGTAGTAGTAGTAGTAGTAGTAGTAGTAGTAGTAGTAGTAGTAGTAGTAGTGAGAAATTAAGAAACTCAGGTGCTTGCCCATTTAAAAAAGTCTTTTTATAATTTAATATTCACAGACACTGTAGTGCACATTGATTAAATTAATTATGCAGCACTTTATAATTTAATCAATAGACCATTTTAATGTGGTGATGTCACTGGCCCATGATCATTTTCTGCTTGTTGTCAAACTATTTCATATCTGTAACAAGTGACAATTCAATCCTAACTTAATGGTATAGCAGCTATTATAACAGTCCTTATCAATGTGTGGAACTTTGTGGACTCAGAAGCTATGGAAATTTAAAATGTAAAACAGGAAATACGTTAGGACCATTGTTATCGTTTACTTCCCTCAAAATGGTCAATGCCTCTACGTTCAGCACATCACTATAATTGTACTTAAGTAAGCTGAAAATGCACCAACCTCATGTGGGCAGCTTTCACACGGCTGAAAATGGCAAAGGCCTCTGGAAAGCTGCTCTGGTCCTGACTTGCAGCAGTCCTCCACTCCATCGTCTATTGCCGTGTTTACTGTATCCATCGGAAATGCACAAAGTGCTGAATCATGTTCAGGAACACCTGAGTCATCAGTTACAGCAAACACGCCATACAAGATATCATCCTCTTCTTCAGCACCCAGCTCATCTGCAAGCTCCCGTCCGGCCTTGCCAAAGTGGGCTGCTTGAACTACATTGTAGACCACATCTTTAAAGGGTTCGCTGACATTGCTTCTCCTTCGCCTTTTGGGCTCGAAGCGACACTCTAAAACAATTTCACGATAACGCCGCATCTCCCATTCATGACGTGGCAGACGGCCGAGTCTTGTCTGAAAGGGTGAAGAGTCCAAATTTGTTTTCTCTCGCTGGACGGACAAGAAGTAGACAAAGTCCTGTGTGTAAAAGCTGTAGACGTACTCAATGCCATATGTCTGCTGTAGAGCAGGCAACACTGTCAGTCCTCTGACATCAGTGTAAAAACCATCCTCCGTCGCGACTGGTCGGCGTACAGAAATGGACATGCGTCCATATTTCTGAGTCACACTATTATTCACCGTCGCCGCCACAAAAAAGTACACCGTTTGACCCTCCTCCACCATGGAGACTTTTGTTCCGAAGGGACTAGCTATACAATCCGGACAAAACTGCGGAGAGTTGAACTTCTTCCGGAATAAACACTTCGAAGGCCCCGGAGGATTTCCATTCTCGCGGAGCTGATGGAAATAGCAAACCCCATATTGGGTACTTCCACACGAGTACAAGTACATCAAGAACGTGTCAAGGAGCAATACCTCATTGTCTGTGTCCTCATGAAAAGGATCTCTATCAATATCACACAAATCGCATATCTCACACTCCGGGCTGCCCACGGGTCCCGTACGGAGCTCCCAGAGTTTATCCAAAGAGTTGTTAAGTGCCTCAATAATGTTCTGAGAGGCCACGTAGACCTCTTTGTAAAAGGAGTTGGTCACTATGTTCTGGATGGGGTTGCGAGTCTGATAGTAAGGCATGGGATATGGCACTGAGAAGTCCACAGAAATAGGGGCCGTTGGGGGACAAGTGTCCAATGCGGAAGACATTAGAGCCTGTATCCAGACACATGTCACTAAATGTGTGGCCCAATGGACCATGTCCACTCCAGGGTGAAGCAAATGGCTGTAGTGTGTTGTGGTTACCTCCAGCAGGCGTCCATCAGTGAAGACATCCTGAAAACAGGAAGGCCTGAGAGGGAAACAATCACAAAGAAGATTAATTAAAAAGTGGCCAATCAATAGTTCACACAAAAGAAAACTGGTATCACTTTATTTTAATTGTCCTTTTTACACATTTTGTTGAATTTAAGTTACATTGCATCTACATGCCAAATAATTCTCAATAGATTATAAGTAGACTGTTAGGTTGGGGTTAGTGAAAGTTGAAATGTATTTGCAAAGTTTCTTGTAGTCAGGTAAATGTCTGTTGAAGGAGCAGTATCAGCAGATATTATGCAGACAGTTTACTAATACTCAATTGAAAAGTAATTGGCATGTAAATGCAAGTTGCAATGCAATTTTTGGTTAACAAAATGTGCAATAGGGACTATCAAAACAAAATGTTACCAAAATACTTTCAATATGCCTTTTAAAATGTGGGACAAAAAGGACGCTGGCAAGTGATGACATAAGGGTGATCTAATTGAATAAAAAAACAAGTTTAGATTCATCATAAGGGAAATGTTTTGCTTATTCATGTCTGTCTGGACCTTTAAGTCAGGAAGAGAGAAAGTCATTAAGGGTAAAAATAGATATTTTACACAACCCTGAGAGAACTTCATTTTTATTAAAGTGTTTTATGATGCAAAGGAAAAACTTTTGGGAATGAACTGGTTGGCTTCAGAACACAATGTTCTCTGTAATACATGTTTTTTTTTTTCTCTCTAAGCTATTTATTAACAAAGCTCATCACCATATTCCAAACTAAGGGCCTCTCGAATTGACATTCATGTCACATCCTAGACGTGCTTTTTTGAGTACAAAAGTTGCAAAATGGAGGTTGCGTATTTCAGTCAAGAGCTTTATTTAACTGGCAAATTAACCAATTACTTTTCAAATCGTGTCACGGCATTTGCACCTGATTCTTCTGAGATCTTTATAGAAACAATTGTGAGTAGTTAAACAGCTTTACCTCGTAGATATGGGCTAAACTAACAATATTGTAATCTACATGTAGCCCAGTGATTGCCTATTAATACCAAACTTCATCTTAAATCTAAACCCATGGTTAATGTGTAAATGCAGTGTAGAATTTATTTATCTTTGGGTAAACAACAGAGTTGAAGATGTTTCTTAATAACTGATGGATACTGACCCAAAAATGTAACACTTTTTTTATGTTCCTTTAAAATAATGAATCATTAGGATTATTTACTGACCCACACTCTCCAATAAACATACAACTAACAAAAATATATACAATTACTAATTGAACAAAACATTTCCTGTTTTTAACACAACTAAAATAATTGTTATGGCACAGATACTACTCAGTTAATTATAATTCAGATTTTTTGTTATCACTGACATAACAATTTTCTAAAAGTGTGCCAAGGCAGGTAAAAATCTTAAAAACAAGAGGGTTATTTATATATTAAGTCATGGCAGCTCTATTAGAATAATTATTTGTACTAAAGAAGTAACTTTTAGGCAAAAATAAGTGTTAAACTATGGCTATTTAGCCATTGGAAAAGTGGACGAGAGGCAAATCACCCATTCTAAAGCTTACACGTTTGGTATAGATAGTATCCTATCTATATGCAAACATTTCTAATTACATTTTACCAAAGAAATATGTAATAGGCTAAATGAATATCAAATTGAATATTTTGAGATAAACTATGAGAAAACACTCACCTGTTGTTGATGATGGCACACCAGTGAAGCAGCACAGATCTCGGGAGGACAAATCCTCAACTGCATTTCCAAACATGTGTACCAGTGTAATGAACAACTTTAAATAAATATTTACATTAGTTTACGCTTTAAACCGGATTATAGAAGTACTTATATATGATTAGAAAGATGTCTTGGGTTTTTAGACTGCTGGTTATGTTCAGTTTGTAGCACGAGTGCCGCTGACTGGAGGTGCAGACAGTCCCCGCCCACCGGCATACAGAAGGAAGACGGCATGCCTCATGAATATTAATTACGCATATTTATAGGCATAGTAAGATCAATTGAAATAATTTATTTAAATATTATTAAAATATAACAAATGGATTACACAGCAGTATATGCCAATCTAGTGATCGTGATAATATGTATTTTAATAAAACCAAAATAAAATCAACCAAAATTTAGCCTACATGATAATAAGCACAAAAGTTAATTTGATATTAGAAATGCAGTCATTTAAAACATTTTTATGCGAGAGCATTTACTAAAGAAGTTCAATTTTAAGAGTCTTTTACATGTATAAAAAAGCAACTATATTATAACAAAACCATAAAAATAGATAGATCTCAGACAGACAAAAGGAGGTAAGCACAAGTACAAAACGGCATTCCTCATGAATATTAATTAGGTCACAAGGATTTTTAAATAACGTAACCGACTTAATATTAAAAAGTGCTTTGCCATAGTAATGTTTAATTTGATTAATTTAACAAATATAACAAATAAATGACACAAGAGAATATACCAGTATAGCAGTCATGAAAATATTTCTCAACAATTATATAAAATAAAATCCACTGAATTTAAAACAGCGTCAACATCACACAACATGTTCACTGCAAAAAGAATATTATAAGAAACAATTTACACAACTACTGACTCATTACTTGTCTATTATTATGATATTAACTGTTTATTATTAGTTCTTCTCATAAAGTACAATGCCTAATTCTACCCACCACCCAACCCAAACTTAGTGTATAAAGCTAAAAGTCTTAGTTAATGGTTTATCAATAGCATGAGTTGTACATTACTATAAAGCGAGATCAAAAGAAATGATGATTTTTACTGAGCTACAAAACAATATATTTCTAAAACATACACTAATTGCCAACCATTTTGGGACACCTTTTCGAATCATTGAATCGATGTTGCAATCCCTTCCATGTCCAGATGTGTAAAAAATGAAGTATGTTAATTAATTAATTAATTAATTAAAATGCTGACAGGGGTAACACATTGTTTCAACAAGTCCTAACCAATTTTGTTTGTTGGCATTCATCTGCATGTTGTGAATTGAAATTTAAAAAATGGAGTGGGGTCTGCGTTTGCTTTCTACAGAGTCAATTCCAACAGACCTCCAAATTTTGTGGCCTTCAGATAAGCTAAAAAACAGGTGTCGAAAGCTTAATTAAATAGGTTTCAACTGTAAGCATTTAAACCTAAGCCTTACATCACTAAGTGCAATGCATAACATCAGATGCAATGGTGTAAAGCAGTGTTTCTCAACCAGGTTCCTGGAGGACCACCAACACTTCATGGTTTGGATGTCTCCTTTGTCTGTTACACCCATCACAGGTCTTTCAGTCTCTGCTAATGAGCTGATGATCTGAATCAGGTGTGTTTGGTTAAGGAAACATGGAAAATGTGCAGAGCTGGTGGTCCTCCAGGAACGTGGTTGAGAAACACTGGTGTAAAGCATGCCGCCATCTTGCACTCAAGAGCAGAGTAAACCCTCTCCGGAGTGACAAACCACTCTTCACTGTCTGGCGATCCAATGGAAAAATCTGGGTTTGGTGTTTGCCATGAGAACGGTATGTTCCAGATTGCATCAGAGGAGGCTTATGGTGTAAGGTTGTTTTTTAAAAGGTTGGGCTTGGCCCTTCAGCTCTACTGAAAGGCACTCTTTAAGCATACTAAGACATTGGCTGCGTCCGAAACCGCCTACTACTCAAGAGGTACTGTATTTAATTTTAAACGTACTACTCGGCCATTAGAAAAGTACGTTCTATACGGTGTGAATGTGAAAAATATGAATGGAATTTGGACGTACTACATCCGCCATTTTGTCATGGTCACGTGACCTATCTGCGTCAGTTGCATCGCTTCACTTCCATTCATGAATTCTCTCGCGGGGCATTATGGGATAGCACAGGGTGCATGGGATGCACACTCCAGAATCTCGCCGGATGTAGTAAGTCTTCCGGGTACTTCTTGCATACTGATTTTCGAATTCTTTGAATTCGGACATACTACTCGGCTCACATACTGATTTTAGAGAACTATATTGTATGGAAGAATGTGGTTTCGGACGCAGCCTTTCTGTATATTTTCATGCTCCCGTCCCGACTTTGTGGGAAAAGTTTGGGAATGACCACTTCATGTTTCAACATGACTGCACACCATTGCACAAAGCAAAGTCTATAAAGAAGAATGAGCAATGAATGAGCAAAAATGGATGTGCAAGTTTGGTGTCCAGAAAATTTACCGGCCTGCACAGAGTCCTGACCTCAACCCAACTAAACACTTTTGAGATAAATTAGAGCGGAGATGATGAACCAGACCTTCTCACCCAATTTCAGTGTCTGACTTCGCAAATGCTATTCAAGAAGAATGTTCAAAATTTCTAGAAACATTCACTCTTAAACCATGTTGGAATAATTTCCAGATAAGTTGAAGCCAGTTTGCAGCTGCAAAATTTAGACCTACTCCATATTGAACCCTACTGAATAAGATTGGGATGTCATTAACGTGCATGTGCAGATGTTCCAAACCATTTGGCAACATAGTTTATGAATAAAAAAAATTGATTTAATTAATAAAATTTTAATTAGGAGTCAACTATTATTTTGTTTCACCAAAATTATGCCTATAAAAATATGTAAATGTTTTTATAGCTATGTATTATACACACCATCTTATTTTTAAATGACTAGAAGCACAAAAGTACACTTATCCTATAGTCATTTAAAACATTTGAATGAGTTTCCATTTGCAAAAAAAATTAATTGGTTCAGTGTTAGTTTAAAGAAAAGCATTTAAATTATAACAAAATAATAAAAATCTCCTAAAAATAGATCTCAGATGGAGAAAAGAAGAGAAAGCACTGGTATGAGCAGCAGCACAGCTCCCTGCCTCAGAATTTACCCGTTATTACACAGGTTTCCATCACAACATGACAAACTAGTGTTTGCAAAGCCATACTGGGATAGGAAATGTTCCACTACAGTAGTGTTAGCACAGACAATTTGGTTTGCACATCCTTTTAAAGTAGGGTAGATGGCACCTGAGAAAAAGAAAATGGTAGAAAGTTAAGCACAAATAAATAACAAGAACTTTGATTCATTAACTTTAGGAAGCAGTTTAGCAGATTACTCAGAAGTGTTTGCTGTGAATCACCTGTTGCAGTGATGCACTTGGTCTCATCACCTTTACAAGACATTGTCTGAGAGCAGTCTGTGCCGTTGCAGGTGTAGCAGCTCTTTTCATTAGCTGAGTCTACACAGTTCAACAAAAGCAGAGACAGTTAAATGGAGAAATAATTTGGAATAGTTCAAGCATAAACAAACAATTATTCAAATGTATTCAGAAATGTGATATAGAGATGAAACAATTTGTGACGACGCACTCCGGCAGTTCAGAATGAATTCTTGTTTTAGCAGACTTCCATTACTTTGATATTTAAACATTTACAGACCTTTACCTTTAGCAAACAGCTACATTACACTGCGCATAATACAGTACATATCACTGAAAGGTAATAGGTAATATTTGAAAAGGCACTTTATGAACTGTAATCAATGTTGGGTGTAATTAGTTACAAAGGAACTAGTTTCTTAAATTATGTTTTGCTGAAAAAATTTAAGTAAGGGATGACGTTTCAGTTTTAGGTAGTTTAATTACAGTTACTTTCTTTAAATACGTCACATCAGTTCTGCATAAATCAATCCAGGAAAGCAAAGTAATTTTATTTATTTTTTGCTATATTTTGCAATATAAATGTTTTTTTCAACTAAAGAAGGTAAAAAAATTTTCAAGAAATTGCACATGCTTTAGAAAAAAATATTGAGAAATCAGTTTGTGAAAATACAAGGTAAAAATTCAAAGAAACAGAGCAATTATTTATGTTTTTATTCAGTTATTTTAAATAATAACCAGGTTTTTCAGCTAAAGAATTTTGGACTTGTCCAGCAGCTGCACTTGTGAAAAGACAGAAATTAGATACAAAATGCAGGCTTCCACACAATTCATTGACGTTGTCTCAACACAAATCGATTAAGTTTGATAAATCAACTTTACAAATTTAAGTGGATTGAACATAAAACAATTAAGTTGTCCCAACAAATCTTATTGAGTTTTTAGCTCATTTAAAAAACTAGTTTAAACAAGCAGCAAAAATCTTCTTTTTTTTTTATGTGTACACATAAAATAAGTTGGAACAGTCAATTTTTGTATGTATTTTGTTTTACCTGTTGTAGCATTGTTCTGAAGATCTTTTGTCACAGATCTGAAGAACAAACTTTCATGGTGTATCCAAGTTTTCCAAAATTTACAGTCCAATTATCATAAAGGGCATTTGCGCAATCCCACGTGAAAATACCATTATCAATACCACCAACTGCAATGAAAAACAATAAAAAATAAAGATTCATTAGCAAACCAAGTCAATAACATATTCATTACCAGACACTTTACAGTCATGCAGATCTTACTATATTTGATACTGGAGAAGCAATGTGAGCTTGAATTGCAGGTTTTTTGGGAGCAATTTGAAGATGGCACGTCACAGTTGTAACACTTCAGTGTCAGCGCTGTAAGTCAATAAAAAGATAAGAATGAGGCGATTTTATAACTATAGCAATGAAATTAAAATAAGAGTGATATATTAAATGTATTTAAAAAAGAAGTGCATTTATTGGAAATCAATTTTGTGCGACATACCTTTAGGAAAAAACAGAGTAAAAACAAACACAGAGATGATTTGCAGCGCCATGGTTCAGCCAAAGAGTGTCACACTGACAATGAAAGATTATTATATAGTGGATTGGTCAGGGTGTGTGTTTTTTTTTTTTTTTTTACACGTTAAAGCATAATGTCTTCCTCTGTGTGTTTTGACATTTGCAAGATACACATGACAACGTGCACTCATCATTTGGGAATTTTCCGATCATATTTAAATGACAGTACGTCAGTAAATGCTAATGTATATAACCTTATTTCTATAAAAGGAAAACAAGCATTTGCTTTATGATTGTCTATCACACAACTGATTTGATTTTAAAATGTTTAAAATGCAGATGTTTTTACCAATTATTACGTCATAAGAATTATGCTTTACTTGATAATATACATTGTTCATTCACTGAGAGCATGTGTTAAAACATGATTAAGTTAACGTAATTGATTTAATTAGGGACTACTTGAAGGAATTGTGAGGAACCCAGCTTTTCTTACAGTGTACACTCAAAAAGATAAGTTTGCTCAATCTATATATTTAAAATGAGCTGAATCAACACAGTTGAGTTTTTTGTGGGGACAACTTAATTATTTAGTGTTCAATCCACTTATATTTGTAAATAATACTACTAATAATAATAATATGCTAACTTAATTCCCAACCCATATTGATTACGTAGAACACAAAAAAAAAACCAGTGCATAAACAGTGTAATTGTAACTATGAGTAAACGCTATATATTTTTTGTTTGACTAAAGGGATAGTTCACCCAAAATGTTTAATTTACTAACAACTTACTCACCAATAACTCACCCTAAATTAGTTTCAAACCTTTATGAGTTTCTTATGTTGAACACAAAATAAAAATGTACAAAATAAAAATGTACAAAACCAATAACTAGAAGAAATAAAAGACATCATATCAAAGACAACATTCTTCAAAAGATCTCCTTGTGTGTTCCACAGAAAAAGAAAAACTGGAACAATCTTTGGAACAAGCAGGACAACCCGTTACTATACAGCTAAAGTCAGAATTATTAGCCCCCCTTTGAATTTTTTTCTTTTTTACACATTTCGCAAATGATGATTAACAGAGGAATGAAATTTTCACAGTATGTCTGATAATATTTTTTCTTCTGAAGAAAGTGTTATTTGTTTTATTTTTGCAAGAATAAAACCAGTTTACATTTTTTTATGATTCATTTTAAGGTCAATATTATTAGCCCCTATAAGCTAATTTATTTTTCGACAGTCTCCAGAACAAAGCATCGATATAAAATAACTTGCCTAATTACCCTAACCTGCCTAGTTAACCTAATTAACCCAGTAAAGCCTTTAAATGTCCCTTTAAGCTGTATAGAAGTGTCTTGAAAAATATCTAGTCAAATATTATGTACTGTCACCATGGAAAAGATAAAATAAATCAGTTATTAGAAACGAGTTATTAAAACTATTGTGTTTAGAAATGTGCTGAAAAAAATCTCTCCATTAAACAGAAATTGGGGGAAAAAAATAAACAGGGGTGCTAATAATTTTGACTTCAACTCTAAACGAATGTTATTTGACATTTGTGTCGTGCACAAACTTATTTTAGGAAATGTTTTTGAATGTAATTTTTATTTGCATGTTGCATTTCCCCTACAGGTGAAAGCAGATGTAATCTTTACAATCTCAAAGCAAGAAAATTTGCAAGCCTCACTGATTACATGCTATGATAAAACCCCCCTTTTCCTACATTCTGCTGTATTTGAATATTAGCGTGGGCGATATTCCAAACTTTACCCTTTCATAAACATCAGTCTAATTTAGAATTATTTATTTTCTTATACACTACCTGACAAAAGTCTTGTGGTCGATCCCTGACTTTATTAATCAGTTATTTGAGTCATTGCAGAGATGTATGGATGCAGTCCTCCAAGCTCACAGGAGTCATACACAGTATTAATTATTTTCTCACTGCAGCATGACTTTCTATTCTTTACTGTACATCATTTCTGTTAAGTGACAAGACTTTTGTCTAAGCAAAGTCAGACCTTACTGTCCTAATTAAATAATTAGAAATCAAGGCATGATCATATTTTATTTTGGTAAAATAATTGTAATCTAGAGACATTTGCCTTTCGAGCCACTTCTGAAACCAAATGATCATCTAAAAGCAAAGTTATTATTTGTTGTTCCTAAAACTTGGATAGGCCACAATACTTTTGTCAGGTGGTGTACAGTATACTGTACATCTTAGACAGAACAGAATTTTTCTGAGAAAAACAATTGAAATCATAATTAACTCACCCTCTTTTATTCCAAACCTATGCAGTATCTCACATTCATCTGTAAAACACAAAGCAAGACAAGATGGGTACTGATTTTAAGCTGAACTAATCTATTCAAAGACAAAAAATAAGAAGTTACATGAAGAGAATGTCTATCAGGAAATAAATAAATAAATAAATAAATAAATAAATAAACAAAAGAAAATTATTATTTTAATATTGATTACATTTTGACTGACACAGATTTATAGTTACCATCACTCTGGTAAAGAAATCTATCAAATATCCATTCATCTTAATGATTTTAACCCTTGTTTACATAATATCATTGTTGTTTTTTAATCAATAATAACATCAATATTATTATTATTCCATATACTAAAAGCTACGCAGGTATTATTTGTATTTTTTGCACTAAACTGTAATCCAAAACAAAACAAACTCTGATGTTCACCACCCACATAAGTATAATTGTATAAAGAATAAAAAAATAATTATTTGGCAAATTGTAATTTGACAGTAAATAATATTTGACTAGATATTTTTCAAGACACTTCTATACAGCTTAAAGTGACATTTATTGGCTTAACTAGGTTAATAAGGCAGGTTAGGGTAATTAGGCAAGTTATTGTATAACGATGCTTTGTTCTTTAGACTATCGAAAAAAATTATGCTAAAAGGGGCGAAAAATTTTGACCAAAATGGGTTTAAAAGAATTTTAAAATGCTTTTATTCTAGCCTAAATAAAACAAATAAGACTTTCTCTATAGAAAAAAATATATATTATGTGACATACTGTGAAAGTTTCCTTGCCCTGTTAAACATCATTTGGGAAATTTGTTTTTTAAAGAAAGAAACTATTCAAAGGGGGGCTAATAATTCTGACTTCAACTGTAGTTTGCATCCTTTTATTTCTGCTATATTGTGATAAGCTTCACACTTATTTGCATAATTTTCATTTCCTGTTTTGTTTTGTTTGTTTCTGTCTCCTCATGAAAAGCTTGTTTATTTGAAAAAGGGACAAAAGGACAACTATTTTCTTTAAGCATCAGTTTCCATATTTGTTTCTCCAAAGACACATGTGAGCAAACAGTTAATCAAGTATACATTAAACTGATCAAAAGTGAAAGTAGAGATTTGAATTGTTTTCATTTTAAAGAGTGCTTTAATAGCTTTATTTTTATTCATAAAAATACTAAAAGCAAGATGTAATGTTTCCAAAAAAAAAAAACAAGCAAAAAAAAAAAAAAAAAACATTTCAACAATCACAGTGCCAGTAAAGACAATGGTAAGGTTTTAAAAAGTTTAACACATGCTTTCACAAATATACAGAGCAAAACTTTTTACGTTTTCATACATTATATTTTTTAAATGATTTATATTTTATCATATATTATTTGAAATGTGTCTGAATTAGCATATTACAATAACTTCTGAAATATAGGATGACAACTGATGTGATGTTGCTAAAAATTCTTTTTTTTTTTCAGCCACAACCCAACACTGGGAAACACCCATACACACACATTCACACACATACACTATGGGCAATTTAGCTTATTCAATGCACCTATAATGCATGTCTTTGGACTGTGGGGGAAACCGAAGCACCCGGAGGAAACCCACGTGATCTTGGGGTGAACATTCAAACTCCATGCAGAAATGCCAACTGATCCAGCCGGCGTTCGAACCAGTGGCCCTTTGCTGTGATTTGCAAAATTCATATAATCTGGAATAAATTACCAATAAAATCTTGAAATATAGAGAAGCTGAAATTTGATTATTTACAATATCACTAATTTTACTGTATTTCAAATCAAATAAATGCAGGTTTGGTGAGCAAGACTTGTTCCAAGAACTAAACACTAGACCACATACTTTTAAACAGGACAACATGAAAATATTCTGGGTTCTACACAATCGATCATGTGTTAAGACAACATAAAGAAATTAAGATGACTTGTTAGTTTTTAACAAATTTGTTGTTGTTTTTTTTTTTGTCAGAATTACACTGTAAATAATGGGTTCTACGCAATTGAGTTGTGTTGGGACAACATAAAGGAATTAAGTTAGCCTATTAGTTTTTTTTACGAATCTAATTGGATAAAACATTTTTTTTGGAGAGTACACAAAAAAGACACTTGATTTGTGTTGGGACAACATAAAGAAATAGAAGTTACTTATTAGTTTTTACAAATTTAAGTGGATTGAATGTAAAACAATTAAGTTGTTCCCCCAACAAACTCAAGATTTATGCTGTTTTCATTCATTTTAAATAAATAGTTTGAACAAACATGCAAGTGTAAATTTCTGACTGAAGATACGAGCCTGTAGACTTCTAGCTTTTGTAAACGACACAACAACCATAAAGAAAGATTTAATATTTGCCCATTTTTTCTAACAAATGACAACATCTTATACATCAACATGTTGATCTGATTACTCATTAAGTCAGTTCTAGTTTAATTTTGCTACTGTATATGCTTTACTCTTATTTTACTCATGTGTAAAAATATGAGAATAAAAGTAATTTGACAAATGATTAAGACATCACGCAAAAACAAACGTGGCAAAATGTTTAAGTCTTCTATAAATGCATTTAATTTCTTTAAATGTTTGTTAAATTGATATCGAAGCATAAGCATAAGTGTCGCCACCACCATTTGTGCAAAATTACAACCAATTTTCCTCTGGCTTCATTAACATTCAAGTCCTACAGCACTGGAATAACAAGAACATGAATGGATGAGCACTTCAGAGGTCCTCTAGACACACACAATGTCACTTTTCTCACTCTTTCAAATAAGTAAAAATGATAAAAAAAAAATCTGAAAATCTAAACATGACAAGTTCCATTTACCTCAGATTGATTGGTCCTCAGAAATTTACTTAAATATCACCTGATCAGTCACTGACAAACATTTGACAGAAATACAGACCGATTCACCTGTGGAGCATCTTCAAGTTTGTAGCGTCTGAAATTAAACACCTATTATAAACAGTCAGTTTGGTGAGATAAAAGATACTTTTAGTCCCACTACACTTATTTATACACCTGTTATATACCCCTCATGAAAAAAAATTAATATTAAGGCCACCGTAAAATATATTAAAGTAATTAGTAGCAATTATTTAAAGGATAGTTCACCCAAAAAAGAAAAATATGCCATTATTTAAATGCTGTAGTGCGGTTGCACGCTGTAAAAAGCCATAACACTGCAAAAAAATGTTGTTTTTTTACTTAGGGTTTTTGTCTTGTTTCTAGTCAATATTTTTTTAATTCTTGAAGTAATTCAAAGTAAATATTTTTTTAATTCTTGAACCAAGGATTGTTTAGACAAGCATAAAATATTGTCTTTTTTTTTTTAGAAATAACATGTGAAAATTAGGTGTGTTTATCATTAAAACAAGCAAAATAATCTGCAAAGGTACCTTATATCAAAGAGAAAACAAAATAATTTTTCTTACTCCATTCACTTTGAAAAAATTAAGGGTTCCACACAATTTCATCATATTGTCCCAACTTAAATAATTTGGTTAACTTGATTGTTTTTGCAAATTTAAGTGGATTGAACATAAAACAATTACGTTGTTAAAAAAACACAGAAATTGTGTTGATGCAGCTCATTTTAAATATGCAGTTTGAACAAGCACCAACAATATTTTATGTTTTTGAGTGTTGGCTGATTATTTTTGCTTGTTTTAAGAGAAAATCTCGCTTAATATTTCTGAAAACAAGACTTTTTTTTGCTTGTCTAGAAAATGCTTCTTGATTTAAGAATTTTTTGACATTTGGACTTAATAAAAGACAAAAATTTGAAGTAAGAAAAATATTTCTCTGGTGTAATTGACTGTGCTTTAAAAAAGTGAGTAAATACATTGCCCTAAAATTTTTAAGTAAATGAACTATGCACATAATTATAAAAATTAAGTCAACTTAACACTTTCAAGTTACAAATTTACTCACTTTAAGTGAAGTCAACTTGTTTCTTTTAAGCCAATGGCATTTACTAACTTTTTTCCAAGTAACTAATTGCCTTTCACAGTGCAATGCCATAAGCCCTTTTGTCTCATTCAAAATATTCAACCAAAAATAACAGGAAAATAATGGTGCATACTGTAATTAACAACCAAGATAAAGTTATTAAAAAAGATGCAAATATATCACAGAATTGTCCCAGATGATATGTGTCATTTATATTTAAACTATTTAGTGGGATCCCAAAATTCTATGTATTATTCGATAAATGACAAGATCTACCTGATGTTTGTCTTCATGCACGAGCTCTGTTAGTGTGTCAGTTTGCTCAACGTGACTAGAAAAGATGCATCAAGATTAATAAACATGAAATCAAACTCATAATAAAAAAGTGAGCATAGTTCCATCACATCGGATGAAAGTCTGAATGACAGCTGACACATGAATGCAATAACTTTATGCTGTGAGGGAAAAAAAAATTGAATATTCCCATAGAGATGCAAGTATATAAATTTGTGGAGTTGTTTTTCTACTTATCTTAATTTTTTACAACTGCAAAAATGTAAACAAGCAGCTTTGCTTGTGGCTGTTGACTACTTTAATACATGAAAAAAGCAGGAGGATGGGGGGAGACACACATAGGAACAGCACAAGGGTGAGTGAATGATGATCTTAATTTTTGGGTAAACTATAGATTAAACTTGGCTCATATAAAACATCTGATGTAAAGTTGAAACAGTGGTAGGTCTACTCAATTAAAAAGCAGAGGTCTAAATGTTCAGAATGCAACATTGTGAGCATTTATAAGATCTTATCTACCTCCCTTAATGTTTTTTCACTGAATTATAGGCGCACTTAAAAGCATTTATTAAGGGATAGTTCACCCCAAAATTGTACATTTCTTCATCATTTTCTCACACTCAAGTGGCTTTAACTATGCATTTCATTCTTCTGGTAAGCACAAAACAAGATATTCTAAAGAATGTGAAAAAAAGCTGCCACATCTATAGCAGGAATAAAACAAAATCATATGAAAGTTAATGGATGCTTTGGGAAAAAAAAATCTCTTGAAAAAACTTTAGTGTTCAACAGAAAAAAAAATTAATAAAGACGGAATTTTGAAAAATGCCATGGAAAGACTAATGCAGGAAATCAATGAGTCCCAGCAAACAGCATTTTTAAAACATCTCCTTTTGTGTTCAACAGAAGAAACTCAAATAGGTTTTGAATAAGTGAGGGAGTAAATATAGACAGAATGTTCATTTTAGGTGAACTGTCCCTTTAAATGTTGCAATTCATGCTTTGACAACTGCTAATAGGAATGATTAGATACTCTTTACTAAGTTTAAACCTTCCTGATTTACACTGACTGCCGTTTATGAGTGTGAGAAGCCCTCAAACAAGCAAGCAAGCCCTTTATATCACCATTGATTCATTCAAGTATTAGCACATTCACTAGTGTTTCTGGCGTTCAGGAGTGCTGAACTGGCTCAGTATGTTAAGGGACTGAGTATAAACAGTCGGTCCTCCTCTTTCCTGATCCACTTCAGGAGTCTGTTGACAGCAGATACAGCGAGACTCTTTGTTCCCAGAGGACTGAAGCACAGGTAGAGCTCAAAGCCACTGGTTACCTGAAGAAACAGTGGGGTTTGACAAAGTAAGAAACACAGAAAGCAGCAAAAACAAGGGACAGTTCACCCTAAAATGAAAATTGACTCATGATTTATGCAGTTTAAAACCATTATGTCTTGTTCTTTCTTTTGTTGAACACAAAAGACGCTATTTTGAAGAATGCTGGTTTATGGCACCCATTGACGCCCATATTAGTAAAACAAATAGTAAGGAAATCAATGGATCCCAGCAACCAGCATTTTTCAAAATATCTCTATTTGTGTTCAACAGAAGAAACTTAAATTTGAATAATGAGTAAATGATGACAGTAACTTCATTTTTGGGTGAACCTTTATTGTGCTGCCAATCAAGACAATCTAAACGTATGAGTGCGTGTATAGATTTATGTGATTTACAGGGACACTTACACACACCGGCCACTTTATTAGGTACACCTGTCCAACTGCTTGTTAACGCAAATTTCTAATCAGCCAATCACATGGCAGCAACTCAACGCATTTAGACAGGTAGACATGGTCAAGATTAGTTGCTGCCGTTCAATCCGAGCATCAGAATGGGGAAGAATGATGATTTAACTGGCTGAGTATTTTAGAATCTTCTGGGATTTTCATGCACAACCATCTCTAGGCATTACAGCGTATGATCCGAGAAAGAAAAGATGTCCAGTGAGTGGCAGTTCTGTGGGTGCAAACGTCTTGCTGATGCCAGAGGTCAGAGGAGAATGGCTAGAATGATTCGAGCTAATAGAAAGGCAACAGCAACTCAAATAACTATGTGGTACAACTGAGGTATGCAGAAGAGTATCTGTGAACACACAACATGTCCAACCTTGAGCTGGATGGGCAACAGCAGCAGAAGACCACACCGTGTGCCACTCCTGTCCGCTAAGAACAGGAAACTTAGGCTACAATTCACACAGGTTCACCAAAATTGGACAATAGAAGATTGGAAAACGTTGCTTGGTCTGATGAGTCTCGATTTCTGCTGCAACATTCAGATGGTCGGGTCAAATTTTGGTGTTAACATCCATCCTGCCTTGTATCAACGTTTCAGCCTGGTGGTTTTCTTGGCACACTTTCGGCCCATTATTACCAATTGAGCATCATGTAAACGCCACAGCCTACCTGAGTATAGTTGCTGATCATGTCCATCCCTTTATGACCATAGTGTACCCATCTACTGATGGCTACTTCCAGCAGGATAATGCACCAAATCATAAAGCGTAAATCATCTCAGACTGGTTTCTTAAACATGACAATGAGTTCACTGTACTTAAATGGCCTCCACAGTCACCAGACCTCAATCCAATAGAGCACCTTTATGATGAGGTGCTATGGGAGATTCGCAACATAGATGTGCAGCCGACAAATCTGCAGCAACTGCATGATGCTATCATGTCTATATAGACCACAATCGCTGAGGAATATTTCCAGTACCTTGTTGAATCTATGCCACGAAAGATTGACACTTTTCTGAGGGCAATAGGGGTCCAACCCGGTTTTAGTAAGGTGTACCTAATAAACTGCCCGGTGAGTGTGGTTGTACAATGACAGGGGTATGATGTAGTAGTACTTTATTTTATTTATTTATTAAGGTGATTTCAAATTCAAAACGATTAAAAATCTTACTTATTGGGGTCTTTTGGCTTTCATTTTGCCACAGGTTTGCTGTTTGAGGGTTGGGTTTAGATATAGGGCCATACAATAAGCAGTTTTTAAAGTATAAAATACATTACAACTTTGCAATGTCCCTGTAAACCATGTATACAGGTGTGTGTGTGTGTGTGTGTGTGTGTGTGTGTGTGTGTGTCAGACTTTGAAAAGGCAAAAAGAGTATCTTATAATGTTAGTATACTGCATATTACTGCAGACTCACCAAGGCATAGAGATTTTCGGTGTCTGTGCAGCGGTAGATGCAGCGCAGTGGACGTGTGGGGTGATGCAGGCAGCTGTGCAGGTGCTGATACAACCCCATCAACCTCTCTTGCTCCTCTCCCCCCTCATACAGTGCTGGAAGATCAGGGCTGTAGAGAAAAAAACAAACAGGAAATTACATTAAATATATTACTTGCTTACTAACTAACTAACTAACTAACTAACTAACTAACTAACTAACTAACTAACTAACTAACTAACCAACCTATCTGTCTATATGTCTGTCTGTCTACCTGTCTAGCTACTTGTCTACCTACCTACCCAACCAACCAACCATCTACTTTTCTGCCTATCCATCCATCCATCTGTCTGTCCATCCATCCATCCATTCATCCACCTACTTTTCTGCCTCTCCATCCATCCATCCATTCATCCATCCATCCATCCATCCATCCATCCATCCATCCGCCTATTCATACATCTACTTTTCTGCCTATCCATCCATCCATCCATCCATCCATCCATCCATCCATCTACTTTTCTGCCTATCCGTCCATCCATCAATCCATCAATCCATCCATCCATCTATTTGCCTATCCATCCATTCATCCACATACTTTTCCGCCTCTCCATCCATCCATCCATATGTCCATCCATCCATCTGTCCATCTATCCATCCATCCGTCCATCCATCCCCCTTTCCATCCATCTACTTTTCTGCCTATCCATCATCCATCCATCCGTCCGTCCATCCGTCCGTCCAACCATCCATCTATCTATCTGCCTATCCATCCATCCATCTACTTTTCTGCCTCTCCATCCATAAATCCATCCATCCATCCCTCAATCTATCTGCCTATCCATCCATCCATCCATCCATCTACTTTTCTGCCTATCCGTCCATCCATCAATCCATCCGTCCAACCATCCATCCATCTATTTGCCTATCCTTCCATCCATTCATCTACATACTTTTCTACCTCTCCATCCATCCATCCGTACATATGTCCATCCATCCATCCATTCCCCTATCCATCCATCTACTTTTCTGCCTATCCATCATCCATCCATCCATCCATCCGTCCGTCCGTCCAACCATCCATCTATCTATCTGCCTATCCATCCATCCATTCATCCATCTACTTTTCTGCCTCTCCATCCATCTACTTTTCTGCCTATCCATCATCCATCCATCCATCCATCCGTCCGTCCGTCCGTCCAACCATCCATCCATATGTCTGCCTTTCCATCCATCCATTCATCCACCTACTTTTCTGCCTCTCCATCCATCTATCCGCCTATCCATCCATCTACTTTTCTGCCTATCCATCATCCATCCATCCATCCATTCATCCATCCAACCATCCATCTGTCTATCTATCAGCCTATCCATCCATCCATTCATCCATCTACTTTTCTGCCTCTCCATCCATAAATCCATCCATCCATCCCTCTATCTATCTGCCTATCCATCCATCTACTTTTCTGTCTATCCATCCATTTATCTATTTATCCATCTATCTCTCCGTTCATCTACTTTTCTGCCTATCCATCCATCCATCTGTCTGTCTGTCTATCTATCTATACGTGTGTCCATCAATCTATTTATCTGCCTATCCATCATTCAATCAATCCATCATCCATCCATCCATCCATCCATCCATATTACTATCTATTTATCCCTCATCCATCATACTAACTATCAATCTGTGTGATTGTCAAATCAACTTACCTGCCTATCCAACCATCTAGCCATCATTCTATCAATCCATCCAACCATCCATCAACTTGCTAGCCTATCATCAATCCATCCTCTAATCTAGGCCTACATTTTTTAAACAATTAGGTCTCCTTAAAAATATACAATATTGTCATTTGTTTTCATGATTGCTAAACCCAAACTCTCTTACCTCGTATAGAGCCCAGAGCTTTTAGATTTGTAGACAAAGTGTCTTAGCTCAGGTATGCCGACCTGTGAGAGGGAGTAGCTTGGTGTGTTCAGCGCCTCCTGCAGGGACTGATAGGCACTGCGTCTGCGCAAACGCTCCAGGAAGCGCTTCTTACAGTCAGAGAGGTTAAAGAAATCCTCACGATCGGTGGACACCAGGATCAGACACAAATCTGAGGCAGGCTCTAGGTAAGAAATATGGGCATGGAAAAATCCAGCCGGGTTAAACTTGGGCAGACATATGGGCGTCCATCCCTCACCTTCACGAAAGGAGGATGAAGAGCCGACCAAGTTGAAGAGCAAGTGCAGGTCCATGTGGTGCAGGAACTGGTCCTTTTTACGCACAAGTGTCACCAGCCTGTTTCCAGCGAGTAAGATGGAGAATACTAGGTTTTTAGCTTTAGCGGCCTGTAAGCTGGAGGAGACAACGTCACGGGCTGAGTTGGCCAGAGGAAGACACATCACGGCGCTCAGCAGCAGGCCGGGGTCTCGGTCCAGGAGGCGCAGCAGGTTGTCGGTGAGATGCTCTGAGCCGGCCAGCAGGCGGCGCAGGTCGTAGCTCTGCCGGTGCTGGAAGACGTGGTTCAGCTGTGTGAGGGTGAGCAGGCTGACTATCTGGAAATACACATACTGAAGCTCTCGTGTTAATTCCCGGTCTGAACAGCTTGTGCGAGAGACTCCCACCAGGATAAGAGGGGTCTTCCTGAGAAATACCACCCTGTAGCCATCTGAAAAAAAAAAAACAATGAAAAATATTATAGTGTTGAATATGGAAGAGATCTAATTTATTGTGCTTCCTTTTTGTTGGCTTCAGTTAGAATACAACAAAGCAAAAAAATAAAAAATAAATAAATAACAAAACGGGTATAGACAGATTTTATAGACTTTCAACGTGGTCATGTCACTGGCTGATGAACAATTCCTGCTGGCTATTAAACTATTTCATAACTGTAACAAGAGGTAATTCAATCATAACTTAATGTTAAAACAGCTATCATAACATTATTTATCAATGTGTGGCTCTTTTTGGATTGTCTGAAGCTAAAGAAATTAAAAATGCAAAACAAGAAATAAGCTGGGACGATTGTTTTGGTTTACATCCCTCAAAATGGTCTAAAATAGTTAATTTTTACAATAAAAATTATGATTTAAAAAAAATCAATATTATAATTAAATTATACCTTTAAAAAAGGTCATGTAATCTGATGTTCATGATAAAAATGATTTTAAAAATCTCAATGATTATACACTAATGTTATCTGTAAACCAAATAATTAAAACTGCAGTAAAAGCAGCAATACTGCAATATACCATTACAATTTAAAATATACACAACAAATTACAATTTAGGGGTCAGTTTTTTTTATTAATAATTAATAATAATTATTACTATTTATTTAATGTAAAAAAAAATTGTTATATATATATAATACATATAATAACATTTTAAACAACTGCTTTCATATTGTATGTAGTTTCAAGTTTCAAAGTCGCAATGTAACAACAAAAACAACAACAATAATAATAATAATAATAATAATAATAATAATAATAGAGTAATTTCTGAAGGATCATGTGACTATGAATACTGGAGTAATGAAGCTGAAAATTCATCTTTAGAAACACTGGAATAAATTATTAAATTAAATTATAAACTACTACTGAAGTTATTTTATAGTGCAACAACATTTCACAACTGTACAATTCGTACTGTATTTTTGATTAAATAAATGATGAGCAGGAAAAGCTTATTTTAACAAATTTAAAAATCCAACTGACACCAAATTTTTGACCAGTAGTGTATCTTTAATGTTTTAAAACATTTTAATATATATTTTTTTCTGTGACTAATTATTATTCCAGTCTTTAGTGTCATGTGATCCTTCAGAAATAATTATAAGATGCTAATGGGTGCTCAAGAAAAACGTGTAACACAAATTTATTATTATTATCTGTATTATTATTATTGAAGACAGTTGCGTTGCTTAAAATGTTTGTGGATATTTTTTTAATGGGTAGAAATAGAACATTTGTAACATCATAAATGCTCTTATTGTCATTCATTCATTCAATAATTAATTTTCCTTCGGCTAAGTCTCTATTTCAGAGGTTGCCACAGCAGAATGAACCGCCAACTATTCCAGCATTTGTTTTACACAGTGGATTCACTTCTAGCTGCAACCCAGTACTGGGAAACATCCATGCACACTCATACACTAAGGCCAATTTAGTTTATTCAATTAACCTATAGTTCATGTCTTTGGAAAAACCGGAGCACCCAGAAGAAACACACGCCAACACAGGGACAACATGCAAACTCTACACAGAAATGCCAAAAGGCCCAGGCAAGACTCGAACAAGTGACCTTCTTGCTGTGAGGCGAAAGTGCTATCTGTCATTTTATTAATTTAATTACTATCTCCAGACATACTTTTGAATAGTAGGGTACATCAACATCATATATTTCAACTTATTATGTCATACCTGCATGAATAGAGCGTATGATGTTCTTCTTATCTTCCACAAATGACATAAGCAGCATCATGACCCCCATAATGCTGGAGAGCGCCTCCTCTGTGCCGTAGCGTGTGTAGATTGGTTTCCCTGCCTCACTCAAGACGAAAACATGCTTTCTGTGGCTCCGCCATGTTTCGCTCGTCACATCCTCCTCCTTTGCCTTGTTGCTGTTCTTCAGCTCCTCTTTCCCCTTTTCCTCCTGCTCAGACTCTAAGTGTTCCTCCTCGTCTCCTTCTTCCAGAGCCTCTTCTTGAGCGTCGTCCACCTCTGCAGATTTGTTATCAGTGTTGGGCTCACTATCAGCAGTCAGGTCCTCAAAAGACTGAGCATGAACAAACATGGCACCTTCCTGTCCTGCACCTGTAAATAAGCAATGCATTGCTTAGGAAATTAACAACATTTCTGCTCAGCAAATCACATAATCAATAACTATACAGTACTTATTTATTATAATTATTGTTTGTTTGAAAGTTATGTATTTTTTCTTGATATTAATTGGTATTTCTCTTTCTTTAAGGCAAACTCTGCCTTGCGCTTGCGGCTAATTCCGCGATGTCGGCTTTATAAGCATAAGCTGAATGTGCATCTGCGTGGCTCTTTATTTCCAGTGCGTGTCTGGCTGATCCTCATTTTTTGCTCTGTCGCAAGCATGACCAGCTGAGGAGCCATGCCGGTGTTGTTGGTGCTTATTTTCATTCTGTGTTGATCTATGTTATGTTTGTTTGTTTATTTAATTAATTTTGATTCAGTTAAAGTTATTGTTAAGTTAATAATATATTTTATATATAATTATAAGACATGTATTTTTGTCTATAAATAAATAGAAAATTGTATTCCCTTAGTTGCGCGTCGCTTTTATGTTGCTCACCCCTCCCTAGACGAGCTTTATAAAATGAGGTTCATAATAATTTTAAGCTGAAACTTCACATATACATTCTAAGGACATGGGAGACTTATTTTACATCTTGTAAAAAGAGACATAATTGATCACCTTTAACTTGAACCAATGTTGGATGCAACATAAAAACAATGGCAATAAAAAAAAATTATATATATATATACACAGTTGAAGTCAGAATTATTAGCCCCCCCCCCCCTAAAAAAATAAACGGGGGCGCTAAAATTTCAAAAAATTTTAGCGCCCCCGTTTATTTTTTCCCCACTTTCTGTTTAATGGAGGGAAGATTGTTTCAGCACATTTCTAAGCATAATAGGTTTAAAAACTTATTTCTAAAAACTGATTTATTTTATCTTTGTCATGATGACAGTAAATAATATTTTACTAGATATTTTTCAAGACACTTCTGTACAGCTTAAAGTGACATTTAAAGGCTTAACTATGTTAATAAGGTGAACTAGGCAGGTTACAGTAATTAGGCAAGTTATTGTATAACAATGGTTTGTTCTGTAGATTATCGAAAAAAAAAAGTAGCTTAAAGGGGCTAATAATTTTGTCCCAAAAATGGTTTTAAAAAAAATTAATAACTGCTTTTATTCTAGCCAAAATAAAACAAATAAGACTTTTTCCAGAAGAAAAAATATTATCAGACATACTGTGAAAATTTTCTTGCTCTGTTAAAAATCTTATAATAATTCTAATGATTCTGACTTCAACTATACATATATATATATATATATACATATACATATATATACATATATATATATATATATATATATATATATATATATATATATATATATATATATATATATATATATATATATATATATATATATAAAAGAAGTATAAATTGGCTTTATAAACAAGATTATAAAGGAATTGTTAAACTAACCTGGCTCAGTGCCCTCCACCAGGCCTGGGGTCGGACTCTCTGATCTGTCTTGCCGGAGTCGATCTGATGGCATCAAGGTGTCATTTTTAACCTCCCAGGACACACCCTTGCTGTGGACATATGCCGCCATCCTGACATCAGGCATGAGCGAAAGCCAGCAGAACAGAAGCCGCAGTCAGAAGTTCCAACCTTCGTGCCAGGAGCCATTCACTGCATGACCCCTACAGCTCCGAGGCTCTTACAGTACAAATAGTTTACATCACTGGAAGTGAAATTACAGAAACAATCATTAAAAGAGGAAGCAGAATTCAGTTAATTCCTCAGTTCTTCATACTGCCACATTCAAATTCATGCATTGCACAATATTGTAATCAACTGGATTCTGCTGCAGTACTTAAAGGTGCAGTATAGAAGAGAAGTTTGACACGCAGTAGCTGAACTAGGCATTGCATTCCTGGATCAAAATAAATGCAAGAGCAGGTTGCCAGATTAAGGACCAACCCGAGCAATTGTTCTGAATAAAAGTGACGGCACGCGATAGAATTATTTTCCAAATTAAAAAGGAGTTTTTGTTCTAACAAATACCTCAAATTCATTAATTAGAAAGGGCGTCTATTTCTTGCAGGTGAACAACAGAAAACTGACCATGATCACCTCAAGTAAACCCCATGTGCTTTATTCAGTGTTAAATGCTAATAAAGTGAGGTTGAATGCCATTTTACATTACATTTATTTCCAGACTACTAAAAGCAGCAGCAGATAGTTCACCTCAGATCTTGAAAATAAAATAAACCGATATTAGAACTGTGAACCATATCAGTGATTCAGCATATAAATTTAATAATGTTAAAGGAAATTGGTAATTAATAGGTAATAATTTTATGAGTGAGTGCATATTCTGTGCTTCTTAATGGCTGGTTTTAAATTTCTGTTGTGATTCGTCTGGTGCAAACAACTAAATTGCTTACCACTGCAAATCTCGTAACATAGCGTGTTGTTAGGACACGGGGTTACAATATAACCTGCTCACTTAATGTTTACGTTGGTAATATTTAAATTATTTGCTCCTTAATAACCACCTCATTTGGAACTCTGAATCTGCGTCTCACTTTGGAGTCTGCTACAGTCCACTGAAGGTCGCATTTCGGTCACAGGCGCATGCTTTGAAAGCCTTTCTGAATGAATGATTGAAATATGCGTTTTTTTTCCAAGACAACCAGGGTTGCTGAAATATAATTGGCTAAAGTGGCAGTGGGTGGGTTAAATGACTAAAACAAAGACAGTTGTTCTGGCACATAACACACGTTTTCAAAGAAGATTATCTGACTTCAGCATAGTTTTTCAGATAAACATGAATGTTTTCTTAGCATGTTTCTTAAATATCTGCAAACATATTATGGCATTTTTATGCTTCAGTAGAATCAAAACCTTACATACAGCACCTTTAAAATATAAATGATATAAGCTAGGAAAATATGCTGCTAATAGTGCATGAATATTTTTACTTTATCACAAATAAAAAAAGATTACTAAAAATAGTGTTTTTTTTTCCTTTTTTAAAGAGAAAATACATTTGCTTGAAAACTTCGGGCAAGTACAATTTACTCTGGTCGGCACCAATAGCCTAGTGGTAAAGTGCGCTGACATATAAGCTGCTCACGGCGACCGAGCTCGATTACCGGCTCGAGGTCCTTTGCCGATTCTTCCCCCTCTCTGCTACCCATGTATTCCTGTCTCATCTCATCTCTACTGTCCTATATATTAAAGGTAAAAATCCTTAAAATGTATTTTTAAAAATTAATAAAATACTCTAAACCGCTTTTATGCTTATTTATGTTGATATACCACTTTATTGCTAATAACTTATTATTATTATTATTATAACAGCAATAATAATAACAACGACATATTAGTAATCAATAACGAAATCATTACCATAAATTTACATATGATTTATTAATTATTTACATATTAAAATTACATAAGGATTAGAGTTGTACAGCTAATTATTATTGGTAGCATTTATTATTATATAACAATTAAAATAGTGTAAATATACTAAATATAATAATTATATAACTGATAAATATTGAACATTTTAAATTAAACGTTTAAACCTTCCCATTTAAAACTATAAATCGAAGTGTATTTTTATGATAATCCTTCATATTTGTAAAAAATTAACGCATATAGACGTTTTGTTGACATGTTCTCTTCATTTTGTGAATAAATCCCATGACCGACTGACAAACGCATTAGCCAAAGAGCTAACGTTAAACCTTTAAAACTGTTGATGTCACTACTAAATATCTTCTTCTGCGCCAGCTTTAATTTAACCACGTCTAACAGATGTTGTTTGGATAGTTTGGACTCTTAATAAGACATTTTCTAGTTACTGTACCTTAAAAGCTCTTCATCCAAATCACTGAATGTTGACTTATCTTAGGTCAAAAACCAACTCAGACTGTCACAGGCGGCATCACGCAGCGGAAATCGGAACTCTGGGAAGTGTAGTTTTTGAGTCGATAACGTTAGTAGTTTGTTTGAGCCGGTTTGAGCGTGTTACCTCCACTGGATGTTACTTTGCTCTATATGTCGCTTGATCTGAATGAATTGAACGTGTACATTTTACACACCTCGATTAGCTTCTTCTTTAACAATAATAAGAGAATAACGTGTTGTATTTAACTCCTCACGGCGTCGTGTGTTGATGACGTGACTAAAGAGGAGGAGTCATTAGGTTTGAACTCGGCGCGCCGCTTAAGTCAAGTCGGAAGCTCAAAAAGAACTACAGACAAACAATATAAACACAATTATGGAGTTTAATTAAGAAAAATTCCATTCACAAGACATTTCATGCGTTTCAGTATCACCTGGGTAAGTAAATACAGCACATGAGGATATAAACAGGTATCGCCAGATCGCCACACGATCAGTCAACACGAAACGTGCCATAAACAGAGATGTCTCTTTCAGATCAACAATGCCCATTCGAGCATACTGCACAATCTGCTCAGATTTCTTCGACCATTCTAAAGATGTGGCTGCAATTCACTGTGGCCATACCTTTCACTATAGCTGGTAAGTGTCTTTACCCTAGCTCGTATTTGTTTTCGCTTGTGAGAGTTCTTATCTTTATATATAACGTTGCATCAAGCCATTACATTAAGTACTGCCTTTGATCCACATTAACACAATGCATGTCTATCTATCTATCTATCATCTATCTATCTATCTCTCCGTCTGTCTGTCTATCTGTGTTTGTAAAGTTAAAAAAAAAACATTAAGACAACTTTTCATTATTCAAATGTACAATTTATGGTTATGTGTTCGAGTAAAACATTTTTATTTATTTCATCCTTTTTACATAAAATAATTGGGAAAAAGTAAGTGTTTTGGCATCTCTGACATGTTTATGCAATTTTACATTGTGTGTATATATAACTACCAGCATTTGTGTGTTGTTAACCATTAAATAATGTGCCTTGGTGACATTTATCCATGTTTATTTTCTTTTTTAACACAGTCTTCTCCAGTGGTTTCAGTCAGCCCCAAACAAAACTTGTCCACAATGCAGAAAACAGGTAAAACATTGGCTTGATGTAAACTGAATTACCCTTCTGATTAAACCAGACTAAAATAAAACCATTTCTTTTTCTGTTTTAGGTCAGCACACGGCACATAATTAACAAGCTGTTCTTTGACATCGCCCCAGAGGATGATGGGGCGCCAGTGGATCCTGAAAGTTTACAGGTGATGATGTATACTGGTAAAAGGATAGTTCACCCAAAAAACACATAAGAAGATATTTTGAAGAATGTTCTAAATTAGTGGCTTTTCAGCTTTGGGTGAATGTTCTTTTTAAATGTATTCAATTCCCAGAGTGGGTTACACAGTATATATGACAGAAGTGCATTGTCCTGATTTCAGAATGAGCTCGATCGCATGAAAGCAGTGCTGTCTGAAAAAGGTAAGCCTGAAATCATAATCTTGTGTTCTTTATCAATTCGAAAAAATGTATTCATAGCTTTGTGTGTGTTTTGCTTTACAGAGAAAGAATGGAGGGAAAAGCAGAAGACAGTTGACACTTTAAAAGACACAATTGAGAAGCAGAAGAAGGATCTGGATAAAGTCCGGAAAGAAATTGGTGATAAAGAGATGCTGTGTTCCGTTCTCCGGGTATATTTGCTTTAATTGATGAATTCAGTTTATTGGTTCACAAAATGTTTTGCCTGTATTTTAAAGCTGGTCTTGTTTTTGTTATGCTTGCAAATCTTAGAAACAGATGAATTTCTTGGAGAGCCAGAAAAATGAAGGACAGGCAGCAAAGGAGGAAGCCAAGCGGCTCCGAGTCAAAATGAAAACCTACGAGAGGTACTAAACATGTAGCTAAGATGGGATTTTACCAGCATTATTAACAATTTTGTGTAGTTTTATGTAAACCTAAATTAATATTATTGTTATTGAAGAAATGGAAGAAACTTTGTAAAACATCATTTTGAATCACTGTTGAGGTTGTGATGCAAGTTTACACCAAAATACTTAATTTGGAGGAAAATTGATTCTGAGCTTAGTTTTTAACAGCAGGTGGTGCTGTATGCTTTAAAAAGCTGTACTCTGCTTGCATCCAGGTCTTTACAAATACCACTTGAACCTAAAATAATCAATAATAAATTTAGAAAAGGTTTAAGCAAATTACAAGAGTGTAGTGAGCTGTTTGCATTAATTTTGTGACCTAAAAGTCAACTTGCATGACTCAGCTGAACACACAAGTGCTCTTCCTCGTGAGCAATTGAGTTTATGTTAAAAACTAGCCTAGAGTGCCATCTGCTGTTAAAAACTAGCCCAGAGTACTAAATGCTGTTTAAAAACGAACCTAGAATGCTTACCCAGCCTAGAGAGCTAGCAAACTTACCAAAAAAAGCATAGAGTGCCATCTGCTGTTTAAAACTAGTCTAGAGCGCCATCTAGAGTAGTTAACTAGTCAAGCTCAATCTGCAGTTTAAAAACTAACCTAGAGAAACATTTGCTGTTTAAAAACTATCCTAGAGCTCCTCTTAGCCCTAGTGTCATCTAGATCAGTTAAAAACTAGCCTAGCACAACAGTTGCAGTTACAAACTAGCCTAGAGTGCCACCTTAGCATTAAACTAGCATGGTAAAAAAACTAATTTAGAGCCCCATTTGCAGGTAAAAACAAGCCTAAAGCGCCATCTTAGTCCTAGAGCATCATTTAGAGCAGTTAAAAATGGAATAGAGCAGTGGTCACCAAACTTGTTCCTGGAGGGCCGGTGTCCTGCAGATTTTAGCTCCAACCCTAATCCAACACACCTAAACAAGCTAATCAAGGTCTTACTACGTATACTTGAAACATCCAGGCAGGTGTGTTGAGGCAAGTTGGAGCTAAACCCTGCAGGGACACCGGTCCTCCAGGACCGAGATTGGTGACTCCTGGCCTAGAGCATCATATGCAGTTAAAAACTAGCCTAGAGTGCCACCTGCAGTTAAAATACAGCCTAGAGTGTCATCTTAGCATTAATCTAACCTACTTAGCAAAATAAAACAAGCCTAGAGCATCATTTATAGTTTAAAAACTACCCTAGAGCACTATCTTAGTCCTAGAGCATCATCTAGAGCAATTAAAAACTAGCCTAGAGTGGCATCAGCTGTTAAAAACTAAGCTCTGAATCGATTCAAGAGAGAATAGTGATGTATTTTGTAAATCTCAGAATCTATTTCTGGAATGCCACAGTTCTAGCCACATGGATATTTACTGGCCATTTCTGGTTGCTTTTCTTATTTGTTTACATGCTTTATTGTGTGTTTCTGTCTTTTAGTTTGGATGTTGTCCTTCAAGGCCAGAGGTCAGAGGTGGAGGCCATGATCACTGATATGGGTGTTGGTCAATCTGCTGTTGAACAGTTGTCTATATACTGCATCTCACTTAAAAAGTAGGTTTTACTTCACTGAACTGCAGTCAGCAAATCCCGCACTTGTATATTTAGCATAGTCTTGTTCTTGAACTTATAACCTCTTTATTTTTTATTTCCCCTAACCTTTTCAAATGACACCAGTTGGGCTTTCTTACATGCGGCTTTAGCATTTTATACATAAACTAAAAACTCAACCTCAAATAAATGTTTTTTTTTTTTTTCTCAGGGAGTACGACAATCTGAAAGGAAGCCTCAAATCATCAAATGAGATGTGTGAGAAGCTAAAAAGGGAAATGATCTCTTCTAACAGCAAGGTTTTTCTTCTTCTTTCCAACACTGTGCATAATAAACATAATTTTGCATCCATGTATTTGAGTTCATTAAGTTTTTTGTTTGTTGTTCTCTAGTTGCAGAAAGCCACTTCAGAGACAAACAGGACAAAGGAGGACATGAAGGCACTTCAGAAAGATCTGTCCAGCGCAGACAAAGAGATCACGGTTAGAAACTCGACTGTTTTTATATAATAAATATATATAGAAAATTTGGAAACTTGGTTATAGACAATTGGGTTTCAACCTGCTGGCTTTGAGATGCCTTAAAGGCATAATTCACCCCAAAATTTTTATTTACTCACTATTTATTCAGACTCAAGTGGTTCTAAACCTTTTTATGAATTTCTTCTGTTAAACACTAAATAATATATTGTGATAAATGTTGAGGGGGGGAGCTGCCATTGACATCCTTAGCAATATTGGCTGTTTTTTTTACAACGCTCTTCAGTATATCTTCCTTTTTTCAACAGAAGAAAAGAACTCAAACAGGTTTCAAAAAAGTGGAAGATGAGTAAATGATGACAATTTTCATTTTGGAATGAACTATCCCTTTCTAATGAATTAAAATAATACAAAATATGCTGTAAGAACAGCTAAAGCTCAGTATGTTTGCTGATATTGTGTTTCCTGTTTCAATGAATCCCTTCAACATCTGACATGTAAGAATGAGGTATTGGTATTGAATAACATCAATATACTTGAGGATTTTTAATAACCAAGGTCTTAAATACGAACATTTATATAACAAAAAAACTATTTCAAACACTAAAAAAATACTATATCGGATAGAAATCTAGATTTATGAGCAAAATAACTTTTTACAAATGTAATTATATCTCTTTTTAATTACATATAAATAAATAAAGTATTAATTTATATATTTATTTAAATGTTTTATTTATTTATATACGGGTAAGAAAATAAACAGCTTTTTCTTTACAGTAGATTTATATTTAGAAATATATTAGGGCCTTGGAGCAGTTAACTACTGTCAGGGATTATATATTTTGTTGTTTCGAATTTGTTATTAAAATGCTTTAAGGTTAAAAGTTGCTTTAAAAATAAAATGCAAAGAAAACATGAATTGTAAAATCCCATTCATGAAAAAGGCATTTGCGCTACATAGTCAATCAGCCACAAGAGGGTGCAATTTCTCCAAACTGACTCCTACAGCTTTCTTAACTCTTGATTTGATCTCTGTTTTACAGAGTTTGAAGAAGAAGGTGGAGATTCTTCAGCGAACGTTAAGCACTCCAACTCGCACTAACGAGGCTATCAG